CTGTCTCGAATTTGCAACACGTCGGAAGTCAGGAAAAGATCTATTGCGTCGATGTTATGGATCACCTCCAAGAAGTCGATCATTACAAATACTTGGGCCACAAGACCAGCAACCCTGCGTAGAACTAGTCGAAATCTAGCTTTACGTCCCTATACCTCCATGTTAAGGATCAGGACGATTCATGCCACATCGAGAGCAAGGATCATCTCTGAATTTTGGTGCACAGGGCCGCGTTACATATGATACTGCAATCTTTCATCCAAGGAAGACATTCATGCTGTTCTACTCTCTCGTGAACTTTGTCCTTTCGTCGTATTATACTCCGAACTTAACCAAATCATTGGCACGCTTATCGGCAGGTTTCTTCGTTCTGGAGTAGCGGCCACTGTACTGCAAGTAGTGGTATCCTAACATTTGTTCACCACGATCCGAAGGCCGGATTTCGATACTATAAATTAACGCCCCATCCAGGTAGTTCAAAATGCAATGCTTCCTGCGTAAAGAATGTGTCTTATTTAGCACTTTTTTGTCTCGTGATCGAACTGCAGTAACGGAATTACTATAGTAAACATTTAATTTCCGAAATAATTAGAACTAAAATTTGCTTCACGTTCTTTCACGTTTTTGCTAACCAAAGCATTTTACGTAATTATGTTCGATTTTGATAATTAGTCTCAATTAAGTTAGTAAAATCAACTCTCCATGGAACGGTCACGTGTGAGGTCGTAGCCATAAAATCGATATTAACGTTATTTTAATATCACTAGATCATTGCCCTCGGGAAAATGGTTTACATTTCTATTTACCTCCTTTGTTTATCGATCACTGCTTTTCATGCACAGAAAAGCGTTCGACTATACCTCGAAACCTCATACTTTGAAGAATGAGGTTCCATTTCCGTCAACAACAGAAATCGGAAGTCCAAAAAATAAATAAGAGTGCTTGAGGTGGCAGGGACTTTTTAACGGCGAAATTCACCACTGTTATGAACGAACTTATAAACTTTACAAGTATCGCAGCGGAATAACCGATGTTTTAGAAATGTATGTAACTTACCTTACACATGCAAAGATGCTGATCTATTGAACTAATGAAGTTATATAGGCATGCCGGATTATTCAACTAGCTCACCACGGCGTCGGAACACATTTGTATATACGACCTATATAATATATACATGCGATCTTCTACACGTGTCCATTGATCAGTGCTGTCAAGCAATGTTGAAAATGTGCAAAGTCCTGAGATGTATACAACGAGATCAAACTTAATGGAACGCGCCAGTCAGTTAGCAACTGGTTACGGAAATGCCAAAAAAAAGTCTGCTATTCAAGATCTTGCTCTCATTATCGGCCTCGGTGCATTTCCGCGTCAGACATTCATTTTCCTTCCATCATTCGATGTTGTCGACTTTGTAGTTCGTTTTCGCACATCGTCAATTGTAATACAAACATTCGCGATAAACCAGCCGGAATCGCATAAACTTCAGCAAACGAACTGTTTTGATGAAGAGTTTTTATCATCTGTTTAGTCTGTTCCGCCATCACTCCTGCCATAACATAATGGTACATGGTTGGTAAAGTTGGTATTAAATTCAGGCGAAGGATCCTGCCGCTCTGGCATGACGGCCCCCTGTGTTCCTTATCCAGGTTCTCGTTTGACACATGGCTCCGTGGCAACCACGGAGCCATGTGTCTTTACGTATTTAACACCGACCGTGTTGACCGTGAATTTGGTGAAGATGGAGATGACAAAGTTTAGAAGGAAAAGACCTACGTTATCGTTTTGAGTTCCAGTAGTGAGACCTTTCAAAACTCATCTTAGAAAGTAGCGAAGATGGGTGGTGATTTCGATTTAGCCGCAGTAAGAAGCAATGAATGGAAAAAGCAAACAGATATGTCGTGACTCGTTTTACCGTGTATGGGCCCTGTCCACAGGAACCGAAATCCGACAACCCTAACGATACAAGAAAGTAATCCAGATACGGGGAAATGTCAGAGATATTAGGCTACTAGTTGCTCCCAGGTGCCGCATTTAGGACATTTGGCTTCCTTACGAACTCAACAAGGATTATGAAACCCATATGGCGCGAATCGATGTAATATACTCGTCCTGATTTTGGGATATTGAATTGTTGATCTGTGTAAGTCTTTGACTACGACGAGCAAAGGCAAATAAATTAGATTAGATAAATTGATTGGTAATTACAATCGATTTGTTTCAAACACTTGCATTGTATATTGTTACAGCTTGTTGCTGATAAGATTGAGATAGACGGTCAGGGGCTATAAGCTTACATCGACGTGAATGATCAACGGCAAACCTATTTAAGTTGTCATGCAAATAAATTTTTCTCTGTCTACCTTTGATCGGATTTCTTTTACAAACTGATTTAAGTAATTTTAGGTCAGAGTACTTTAATCGATTTTGTAGCGAAATTCGCAGTAGCAATATCTATTTGAAAACATTATTTTAGGATATGAGTACACAATTGAAGATGTCGCGCGAAAACGTGATTACCTACATTTATACTTTTCGAGGTAACGATTATTTCTACATTTAGGTCAAGAAAGTTTCCAAGCAGCTTTGCCTGGCTAGCAAGAACTTTTTAGCCGGGCAAGCTAGCAACCGCAATAAACGCCACTGTTTAAGTTGCCTACGCGGATTGCTAACCGCCGACCAACATCGCGACGCCCGAAACAATAGAGCCTGTTGGAACGAACCTACGAAGTTCTTCTTGTTTCTGAGGTAGTGAATGCAGAAATTCAAATGCAATTTTTGACTGATCTTTTCCAATCTCCAGCCCCTCTCTCCCTGTCGGAAGTACAAGCGCTGTTGGACGGGAAGGCCCAGATGACCTTTAGGATTTTGGCCAAGGTACAGCCCAAATTCGACAATTTAGCCTTCATTTTTTGATGATCTGTCCAGAAATGTGTGCGTCACAAAGGCAACAAAACCTTGGACCGCTGAAGACCCGTTCGACTTCCGACGCAGAGCGTCGACACTACAAGTTACTCTAACCTAAAACTACTAGTTTGTGAAAGAAAGCAATTAAATCGCGTATTTTTTCTTTAAAAAGTAATAAGACTACATTTTTGTGATTCAAAATCATTTTCCATATCTCCTAGCCGACTCGCCACTGTTGTCCAAAGAGCTTTGTCATAGGTTTGAGCTCTTGGCAATCGAACCCATAAAGGCCAACCTTAGAAAGGAGCTAAAAGCGAAAATTCTAGGAAATCGACAGGGATTTCTTGGTTTGGGTTCAATGAAAAACAACAAGTGAAAGGGGATGAACCGGCTAAATAAACTCGGTTTGCTGCGCATAGGTTCTACTATAAACTGCGTACGAAACCAGGTTTTTACAAGCCCGACTGCACATAGATGCTACAGAAACGAGAGAAGATGTGATAGATATCATGCTGCTCATTGCCTTCTGGCACAGACTTTTGGCAAATCTCTTAAATTAGTTTTATAAACTCGGCAAGACTCGTATAACCCATCTTACGCAAAGTGCCTTAATGGTTCGCTGAATAGATAAGATTAACGCAAGACAAAATTTATCATCATCATTTTAGTGTACCTCGTTCTGTAGCATCGTTTAACACTGACAAACAGGTGACCTTCGTGAGTTGTAACTCCTCACCAGTAAAGATATTCATGCCACTTCGCTGCTAAATTATCACATCATTTATCCGAGCCTGCCAATTTATACCATCAAAAAGGACGACTCCGTCGACGTGAAAACCGTCGACGGTTCACCAGCGAAACAATCCAACCGCCTATCGAAATTTGGTTCATCGACTGTGGGCATATATGTCTCGACACGCACGGCAATCATTCGTTTCGGTTTGTCACTATTCGTCCTAATATCTATTCTATACATCGGAATTGAGATGAATCATTTGTGTTCATCATGGTTTTGCCTGTCCGCAATTTGTGAAACAATTGTATCAGCAACTTGAGCACTGAAATGTTACCCTGACCATAATTATTTACAGCAAACTTGCACAAATTCTAAAACATGCGTTGCATGTGATTTCAAAATTAATTTTAGGTCCGATTTACGTTTCACTACCGTGATAAACTTTGCATAGATTTATTTAATACATAAGATCCAAGGCGATCCAGGTCGGACCATCCGGGATTATGAACTTATGATGAGTATGTGTACATTCATATGAATGCTTATGTGCCGGACAATTTCATGTTGAGTAACGGCTACAAGACATATGCCTACAGGTGCATACATTCCTAGAAGGAGATAATTTTTGTGCGACTGATTTAGGGCCGTGGAGCCATGGGGTCTATGATTAGATTTATAATCATGATAAAAATAGTTTTTAGAGCGTTATAGCGAGAAGGAGTGGAAATGCTATGTGCAAGATGAACCAAATATGTGTGAGTCATAGTGCTGCGTGACCAAGAGCACAAATAATTTGTGTCGGCGCATGAGAAAACTGGTGAAATGAAATGAATATGCATATTTAATGAAACAAAGGACTAAGTAAAACTACATAACAGAATAAAGGATTAATACTGCCTAAAACTTTGTGGCCGTCGCAATAGATTCATACGCAGAGTGGACCTATGTGCATACGTATCAGATAAATGCCTCTTTCGGTGTCCTGAATCATTTCCGGCCATGGAGTATCAGGTGTTGTCGAACGATACACATACTTCTACGGCTTACGTGACAATACATTTCAACGAACTATATGATAAACATCCCTAATAAAAAAAAATGTGTTCCACGCTTTTCGTGATTAAAACAATTTGTATCGAATGATTTCAGGGTATGGCGTTGCAACTGGGCAGTAGAAGATGCATCTTTCCTTAGGACTAATTTGATAGAATGTAAAATATCTCTGTGTATGTGTGCATATCAAATGTTTAGGTGATCGACTATATGGAGAAAAACCATGAATGCCTCTTTTCGTCGCGCCCCTATTAGCGGCTTGTCAGTTTAGTGCAATAAATAATGCAGCTCACAGAAAAATCGTCTTTACTAGAGCTTAAGGTATACTTTATAATAAAGGGAGAATTTACATCGCAGTTTTCCACTTTGCTTTAAGCCGAAATAAATTTATAGATCAGTTTGTTTTGCCAGCATTCAACACTAAAAATAGCAAAATATACTTATAAAATGCGCATTGTTCCTCTAATTGATAATTAATGTTACATTTAAATTTTATTTGAGCACTAACATTTCCGAGAGTAAGTTGTACACCGCCCATATGCCAGTTCTCCGGCTAGGCATCGAAAAACCTTGTCGGAATAATTTCGTATCTATTGGACTTCAAATATCACCTATAGACTGACAAGAGCAGTGCTTTCTATGAAAGCCTTAACTTTTCCTTAGAAAGTTAAGTTCCTTAGAAAGCATGCAAGTATTTTTTAAACTTGCTGCGCACGCAATCATTAATATAATTTTATTACGATAAGTTTATGACGCATGCTGTACTATATTAGTGAAAAAAGATGCATGCCTGTTTGTTTGTCTTATCGTCAATCTAATTTTTGATGTTGTGCGTGCTACCCCATATTTGATCGCATTGCACGCCATCATTTGTTAATTAATACACAAGGCTTCACAGCCGCTGTTTTATCCGTAAACAAATTTTCAGTCAACAAATGGTCATGTATATTTACATTCATTGAAAAGCCTAATATTTACGGTACAAATTTATTTATTTCCCCAACCCATTTGGTTTCTCCATGTAGAAGAAAGTGTATCTCCTTTTTCTCAGTCTTTATAGCTTTCGTGGTTGTTAACCTTCTGGGGCTGGGCTTTCATTTTTCAAATAAACCCCTTGTAGCAATAGAATACGCCATACGAGTAGCTAATATAGAAGTGTATACATTGTATTCAAATTATGTACAATTATTCTGCCCCTTGTATCCTTCGACTTTCGTTTACCCTTCGTTCACTCGATCGATGTGATAGAACCGCAAGATAATGCGCGAAGGACTCAAATTACCATCGCACGCGGCACTCTCTGACATCCCGTAGTATGTTTGTTCCTCATCACCCTCATTTGTTTCATAAATAAAAGTTCAGATCTGCCAATCATAGCAGCTGCGGAATATATATATATATATATATATATATATATATATATATATATATATACTAAAATCATGTATATTGATGTTTAGTAGCATATTCAAAAACGTTATCGAGGTATATACAGAACGGATCCGCAATTTCGCCACGCATTTCGCGGATATCACTTTTCTCCATCATTCACGCACACCACAAAGACATTTTTATTAGGTTTCTAAGTCCGCTGTTCGTCGTGTACAGACGAATGCAGAGCGTCAAATAGGATACAGGCGACAGTGTTATCATAAAGTGGAGAAAATGACAGCATACTTCTCCTAAACCGAGCTGATTTAGGGTATAGATATGAACATAAGCTTACTATGAAGATTCACTGATTACGTTCTTCTAGGAACTTAAAGAGGCGACTGTCTCTTTAAGCATCATTCCATTCAACCCAGTTTAAACAAGCATCACGTTTTCATCCTACGTAGAAGCGTACCATGACCAGGATGATCAATACCTGCTATCGCCTATACAATATTATTCCTATTATTATTATTATTAAAAGACCGAAATATATCGGTAACAATAGACATATCGAAATACGTTTGGTAACGTGTTACTTGTCACGTTCTTCTGTCGTTGATAACTGCTGCTCCTAACTGTGGGCAACCGTTGTTATTATTATTAGTATTATTATAATTATTTTCCTCTTTGTACTTTGTCTTTTTTTATATACACAATACAAGCTTGGCCCGATCAATGAATTCCCGAGTTTTCCGGGCGTTTCTTGTTTTCCGAGCCATGTCTTTGTTCCTCAGCCGATGCGGAATCGACCTTGTCACGTGTTACCTTTCTTCTACTTTTTTCCCTTTAACCTGTCCTCTAGGTGTTTGGTTCTTTTTAGCTTGACTTTCAATGGGTTCTCCCGTTTGAAGGTTCGTCACGTCAAATCATGCATCCATTTAATAACGTAAAGTAGACACAGTTATCTGCTTGAATCGTTTTCGTTTGTTTTCTGCTTAATATGTCACAATGTAACAACAATAGAACTAAATTATTGGCGCTGTTGGCTGAAGTGGCAGTAACGAAACTGAGGAGAGCCTCTGGTGAGCGTACTTCTCTGGCGTAGCCTTGTGCGGTGAGGCCGTTGCACTGGACGCAATCTCATGTAAATGATCGATGGCCTTTTGAAGCTTTTCGTTGTTGAGACCAGCGAAGTCGCTTAATTTTTGGTTCCATCCGCTGATGTTATGGTCGACATGATGCATGGCCAAAATGAGCGCTGCGGCGCCAACTTCACTTGGTCGATACACTAGTGATGTGGTGCTAAGCAGTGATAGCTCACAGATGTACTGGGCCATATGGGCCACCTTGAGGCTGACATTAGCTTCAATGGCAAAACGACGCACAAACGAAAGTGAGTGCGCTATGCCTAACGAGAATCCAAGTGTCTTTAGAAGCAACGCCTCCATACGGATGATCTGTTGTGATGAGTACGTGTCGTCGGTGATATAGACGAACTCTGTTAGCTGAGGCGGGTAGATCTCTTCAACCTTGGCTGCGATGAACATCGCCGCTGTACCAACAAGCTGAAGTTTGCCTCGCACGACAGACATCACGGACAGGAATCTATGAAGGAAAAACGCAGAAAACGGAAAGCATACGGTAAGTGAATCACTTTCAAAGCAGTTGGTTTCGTAAGACTAAACAAAGTCACTACGCGGAGTACGTTTAGATGCCCTTATCTCAATACACCAAATATAAACCGCATTCATAATATTAAGAGTATTTCTAATAATTGTCAACTACAATCCATAACTACTAGGCCTGTCTTTTTGCTATTGGCTATGTCACAATGAACCAGTGAGGCTAACGATGCACACTGGTGAACAGGTGTCGAATGGTCTCATTCCACGTGTGCGCCAACTCTCATAAGTACCAACGATTCTGTAGACAATCGTTGGTACTTTCTAGTCTAGCAGTAACAAAATCGACAACAAGGTCTTCCCAAATAGAGCTTCTTTGCGACGCAAACCTAAAACACGGCATCGGAACGGCAACAGTTCAACGAATGATAGACAGGACCGTCCTGTCTAGTACCGGTAGGTTATGTGCATTATACCAGCTCACTTAGCAATCGCCTTCTTTTCGATAATAGTGACAGTGAACTACAACAAAATAGCCGATCGCGGTCCAAAAGTGGAGAGCTTCTGGCGGGACAACCACGAATCAGTGCAAGCTGCCTACCGAAGGAAACCATAGTCTGGCTTAAAGGGAAGGCGTAGTTTTAACGTACAAAACCATCGGACGTGCCCAGACATTGGATACTACGAAGGACAGCCTCGAAGAGTAAAACCCTGTGGGAAGACCAGCAGAGCGAAGACAATCGAGTAAGGCCTTAGGCTATACTCATTGGCCATTTGACTCGTGCGTCATGCCATATGCAGCTGCTACGCTTCACAGAAGGATTTAGCAGACCTCACACTGCAGGAGGAAAAAGGAGCAGACTACAGATGGGGGACCTGAAAACTGTGGCACCATGGCAGGATCACGCTTATATAAGACTATGGTACCTTCTAATGTCAGCATACTCTTCCAAGAGGGATGCTTGGACTGTATTCAGCTTTACTAGATAGCGTGTAGGCTGCGCGGAGAACTTGCCGCCAAAATACGGCAATTGTTAGCTCTTGCCACCACGCGTTAACGCTGCTGGTGCCAATATTCAAGGAAACAGACGGCGTTTGGTAGTCACAGCAGAACAGACGTAATGGCATACCAACACAGTTAATCGGCCCCTAAACGCCAAAAACTAAACAAGGAATATCTATCCAAAACTATCATGAACAAAGCATCCCCAGTCGGAGAAGCCGATGATGCTGCTAACGGTTACGACTGTTCCGCATACCGATCCAACCGTTCAGAAACGGACACGAACCAAGTCAAAGAGTGAGGTTGACGGTTAGGGAAACCATCCGTATCTACATGAGCTCCACCCATCTCTTTAGACAGTTTTCATTTACCTGGCACATAAGCCTGTTTGTATATGGAAGCGAAGAACCTCAACGCTTTGGACGCTCTTAAGTGGTACAAGTGATAAAAAATTGTCAGCTAACACTGCTAGCTGAAATTGCAAACAATAATCAACAAATAACAAAACTTACCTGTCGATCAGCGACACAGCTAAGAACAGCGTCTCATCCGACATCTTGTACTCTTCATTCACCTCTACAAGCCAGTCAACAAGGACGGCGCGCATTGTCGACGAGATGTCTCGCTGGCGCGTCATATAATCCGGACGAACATTTAGCCGGCTCTCGAGGTCTCGCATATAGGCATAATGTGAATCGCCATACTCGCGCGTAAAAAAAAGATCATCGAGCAGTTCTTCTTGGCGGTCTTTGTTCTGCGTCTTTGGAGTTTCGGGCAGCGGGGAAACGATCATGGGAGAGCCCAAAGGCATCGGTGAGCCCATGGACACATCGAGCGCCTTAAATGGCTCGCGGAGTGAGCTCGAGGATTGTTGTTGCTCAGTTTTTCCTACGTTAATAGCAGTAGGAGCGACTTTTGATCGTACAGCTGCAGTTTCGGACACGGCGGCAGTGGCTATTGACGTCGCTTGATTTTCTTTGTCAGCCGCAGCTGCTGTTGCTGTCGATGTCTTATTCTTGATTGCGTTCTCATCGCAGAGCTGTTGTCGCTCTGATTTATGCGAGATGTTATGGGACGTCACCGCGTTTGGCTTCAATGCTAGAGCCACCCTCTCATGTTGGCTAACGTCCGAAAGAACTCCGAGCGGTGCCCGGCGAGTTTTCACTCTAGCAGGCTGGTCTGCCTTAGCGACTCCGTTCTCATCACTGAACACGGTAAAACGACCCTGTGTAGCCATGGCAGACAATTGACACTCTTGTTGCCAACAGGGTCAGCCTCAAACAAGCACGCCAAAAGGTGAACACAAACGTTGTAATTGATGACACCGCAAATCCCGTCGTTATTGCCTCGAGAAACCGATGCTGACATTCAACGATCGTCCGCGAGATTCAAATTTGAAGTGAACTCCGCACCAACGGGGGTTTGGTGGCGCTGCGATCAGCCGCCAACATTTAAACTGAGCGAGATTTGTCGTTAACGATTGCGCTCGCCAAAAACTTCGTCTGGCATTAGATGTAAAATCGCAGTTTGGATCGGCTAAAATCGCTGTTAGTTACTGACAGCCGATTGTGCCAAAAAAGAAGAAAAAATTCTCATGTTGGCAAATATCAGCTCGATGCGGAGCCGCGTTCGAATTCGCGCACTGGCTCATGTAGAAAATGGCGGCTAAGAGCAAAACGTGTTTTGGCATTTCTTTCGGCAATACAAACCTCTGTATTGCTGTACACAAGGTTTGTGTACAGTTGTTTAGCGCTAATTGATTAGATTAATGATACGGCAATGCCAGATTTCATATAGAAACATTTGACAGCATCGTATATGGTCAATGAACATTCAAACAAATTATCTAAGATTGTGCAGTATTGACTTCTGCGCGCGTTAGCTCGGTTAACGCTAAAGAAGAGCACTATCGTTCGTTACTTCAAATCAGCGTAGATCGACTTATTTCAATTTGTAGTGGTCGAATTTATATTTATATCACTTAGTGTCGAAACTAGTGCAGCTTATGTATAGGTCACGCTATTTGTGTGATCGATATGGAAATATAATTACCTATCAACTCGAACAGAACACAGATGAAATGTAAGCTAACAAAAACCTGTGCGGTTGTTACGGCTGTTTCTTTCTTTTAAAATTAGTATGTATTGAAAACGTTTTTAATCTGAGAATTTAAACGAATCATCTGCTGACTGCTTAAGACAATGTCACGACACCGAACGAATTTCAAAACGTGCAATCTTTTTACAATCAATATTAATTAATACTTATGTAGTATTACACAAATTGTGCAGTGTTATTTTCAAGGATTCAAAAGCTGATTTAATTAATGAATTAGCAAACAACGGTTGATGTTGGCATTGTATTCTAATGCCTGCAATCTACAAAATATAGAGGTCTAAATATTGAATTATAATATTATACGTATATTTTAAAACATCTAGGATCGTATACACTGACGTGCACTAAGTGCGATAGGTTAGCAAGTTATTGTGAAGTATATCTAATCGAGTATTCATTGCATTGAGTGTTTTAGTCGGCTAGCTTACAAATCAAAAGTTAGTATATTATTCGCAACTGGTTCTTTAATGGGGTATCAATTTTAAACATATGGTTTCGAGTTTAAGAAACAACGTACAGCAGTGATTTTAGAGAGAATCATCTCTGCGCATAAAGTATTATGATCATGTCATGGCCATTTTGTTCATTTTAGCATTAGCACTCTACCCACGAATCTTAATTGAAGAATATTATTAGTGAGTGAATTTTCTTTGAATCTCGTTCTATCGTTGTGTCGCATCGATTTTAGGATGGGAAAGCTGACGTTGTGGCAAACGACTCCGGAGAGCGTACAACACCGGCAGCTGTGAATTTTTCCCAGCATGAGATCGTAAGTGATGATTATATCACAGCTGCAGTTCGTTCTGCTCATTACATAGGTAACAAGCAAGAGATCAATAGCCAGAGCCTTTATGGTGGTTAATAATAACGTGCTTCCGAGCAAACGTAAAAGTGCATTCAAAACCAGTGCTAGATACAGTATCTTCTGTTGTGCTGGAAGGGTACAACCGTCTGACGCAATCAATGCTTAACGGCTTATCGAATTAGCTAGACTATAAATGATAATATAATATAAATAGCCTTTGTTTAAAAAAGAAGGTGAACTAGGTACTAAGTTGTATTAGCCAGTAACTAAACGTCTTTTGGTCCAGTATAGCCGTTAAGCATTAGCTCAGACGATCAGCAGAATCAAACAACAGCTAGGATTTCCGATTTATTATCATCGTTATTATTCGTGGCTAGTTTAACGTTCATTTTGCGTATCATATATTCAATTGTTTTGCATAATGAAAGATAAAGTTCAAGTGCAGTGCAAAACCAAACCTAATTATACATGTGTATAATTGATTTGCCAATGCAACTAGTGTGTTGGCTTACATGCAAAAAATCGTCTTTTGAGTCTGCCTAATGCTACCGTACCAAGCGTGAAGCGTCTGCTGGGTAGCGATGATGCTTCGAAATGGACGAATTCGGTAATCAGTTGCGATTCTGTCGAGGGTCAGGGCACACTTTCATTCACCGTTAGCTATGAGAACAATAATGGACAGACCTGCGAAAAGAAGGTTACCACCGAACAACTGTTAACCCATCAATTGAACAAGTTACACGGTGAGTAACGAGTGAACTTTTTTTTTTTATATATATATATATATATACTATAGAAGCATTTAGATCGCCGTTAAATCATAGGTATTAGTTGGTGACTACAGCCTACAATTGGCGATGCAGTCAAGTGGAACTTCATTATAGTGCAACATGTTTTATGTGAAAAAAGTGAACGAACGCACGGTACAAGAAGTTTTTACTTGGTAGTTTCGGAATACATAGTTTACACCTGAGGTGAAATACGTAGGCGTAAAGGCAGATTAAAGAAATCCGATAAATTGTATCCCTTTGAAGTTGATGAAGAGTTCGCCTTCTTTTTTTTTGAACTGGTGGCTGCTTATTAGCTTTTTTTGTTTAGAGAATCGCCTTGGACACGAACGGTGAAGTGTTACCATGAGGGTGATTTTGAAGTGGGCCCAAGGCACAACTGAGGTCACTTTAGTCGCCTGTTCAGACTCGTGAATGGTAGGCTTAGAGTACAGGGTGTCAATTATAAGAATAGGAATAGCTTTGAATAGTTTGAAGTTTTGCAGTAAAATGCTGTGTGCGCCATCTTTTTTTTTGGAGACATGAGATTCAATTAATTAAATAAGTATTTTATACATAATAAGGTGGCTTCGAGTTACATTATGCAGAAATGTTACGAATTAGTCGTTGTTGATCATATCGTATCTTAGTGTAGTCCATAAATACATATGAATATTTTAGCATAATTTTTATTTAACAAATGAGGGCTGCTATAAAAAAAATCAGGCACAAGGAAGTTGAACTTTGCGCAACTAATTAATCTATTTTATCATTACATTTTTTAAGCTAAAATATTGGATTGATTCTTAGTAATATAAGCTGCGAAGAAAAAAACATCTAAAAAGAACACCTATCTTGCCAGTAAGGAATTGGCTCAGAAACGGTGTATGGGTTATGAGAAGTCGACATCTTACAAAAAAAATCGTAAAAAATTATACCTTAACGGCTCGTGCAAACATTGAAGGTTTTTGAGGAAATATTTTGAAGGCTTTACATTTACAGGTTTTACAGCGATTGTGAGCGATCGCATATCACACGCGTTACTCAAATTTATGTTTGGACTCAGAAAAACAGTATATTTCGTCAAAGTCAGTTTTTTTTCTAAATTTTTGGTAAATACTTTACGTATCATTCTGAGGAGATTAATTTTAATTGCCATCGTTAGAATTGCAACCCTTTGTGAACCATTTGAAAACAAATGATTGACTGGTTAATTGAAACGCGAGATGAAAATGATAACTTTTGTCATGTTTTCAGAAACTGCCCTCAACCAACGACAGGATGAAATCTATCCATGTGTCATTACTGTACCATTCTACTTTACCGTAAAGCAAAGAGAGTTAGTTTTAGGGTGCGCAAAGGAAGCAGGCTTTCATGTTCTAAGGGTGATTAACGAGCCGACCGCCGCTGCACTGGCTTATGTTCATAAGGCCGAAGCATCGACCACGTCAAAGTAAGTCCTCAAAGTTTCAAGATAAGGCTTCTACGAAAACTTGAGTTTTGTCCATGCATCATAGTAATATGGTAATATAGTCTTAAATATGCATGAAAATACGTTGCTCGTAGATGCCTTATATAAACATCGTTCTGCAAGTTTAGCTTTTGCCGTATTCTTTATACTGCAGAGTGTGCAGCTTGAATGACCAGCTCAAGACATTGGCTCTTTGGATACGGTTTTAGTAACATATTGTGTAGACAACAGCACCTTTGCTTTTAATGAGCAATGAATGTGTTAACTTATTTTCACTTTATTGACTATATAGACATGATTGTGTGCTATTTGTTTTCATATATCCATTATTCCATATAAAAATAAAGTGTGTGATAGCATGTTCGAGCTTACAGTGACCTAACGAATACGTTTTTTTCGTGCTTAAAAGTTGATTTTACATTAGACACTGATTTTAAAGAAACATACAATACCTATGTATAACCTATATTGATTAGTTGGTTCAAATCAAGTGATTTCGTTTTCACCTTTGGCAAATTCTAAACATCTATGCAATCAAATGAGAAGTAACCAAATCAAGTAAAATATATTCCAAAAAATACTGGTTCGTTATAATCGCAATGCATAGGTAATATCTTTGGCTTCCAACGGAAGGGTCACATAGAGGCCTTTAGGTTCAAATCCGGGTGCGCATAGTGTCTCTAATGAAAATCAAAGCAGCAAAAAGAGTAATTAGTACAATAGAAATGTTCTATTTTCGTGCTTGGATTGAAATTGCTCGTACTGAGCCGTCTGTCCTTACAGGTCTTTGAAGAATTACTTAAAGCGGTCCTGAGACCTGTCGTAATAAGGATGGTGAAGATTCAGCTTGAACAGAATCTCTGTAGCAATTTAAAATTAATATTAAGCCGTTGAAAAGTATTGATGCTTTTTCTAACCAGATGGTTTCAATGTCACATATCTTAGGTAATAAGGGCCTCATCGTGTCGGAGTTGTTATCGTTTGAAGGCTGAGATTCGACAGTAGAGTTGCCGAAAACAGCCTTTGATCAGACTTTAGACGGAGCACTTTGAAAATAAGTGTCTTCTTCAAAATTTCACATTATTTTACGATTTTATCACGATAAAGGCATAAATAATGCCCAAGCCCATTAAAAGATGTGTTTTATAAAGTCAACATACGTTGCCGGAAAAAATGACTTAACGATAGTTCTGCAGTTTTAATTTTGAAAATGTCAAAGATGCTTCTCGCAGTAATTGACCAACTACCGAGAAAACTGATTAAGTTAGAGCGAAACTTGAGCAGCACCAACAAGGACACGTAAGTAGCCATGATATCGCCAGGGAACTAAACCATTACCAAGCGGTTTCAAACAATTTGAAGAGAGCTGGCTACAAAAAAAAACTCGATATTTGGGTGCCACACGAATTGATGCAAAGTAATTAATCATATTTTCATCGGAAAAACTCTACAGAAATGCAACAAATTGAGCTGTTTCTAAACCGATCGATTATTGGTAGTGAAATCTAGATCACTTAGAGCAATATATGGTGAAAAAATGTGTTCCACAATCTGTGAGAAAGCCCGGACTAACGTCAAAAGAGTTGACGCTATATGTTCCGTAGCATCGGAAAGGAGTCGTGCATTATGGGTTGCTGTCGCCTGACAAAATGATTTGGACGGATCTCTACTGTCGACAACTAAGGACATTACAACAGGCTACTGGAAAAAATCGACCGGAACTCGTAAACAGAAGAGGCGTAATCTCCTACCATAACAATGCCATACCACATACAACTTTAAGTATCCGCAAAATTAAGTAAAAAATTTCAATGCATCCGCCGTACAGCCCGGATTCCGTGTCACTAAACTACTAACTCCTTTGTTCTACGCAAGACTCCCTTAATCGTGTTAAATTAGTTTCAATGAAAAGATTCAAATACTTTTCGTCACAATTTTTCGCCTAGAAGCCACAGAGTTCTACAGGAATGAACTCGTGGTGTTACCAACAAATGGCAAAAAGTTATCGATTAAAATAAGATATATTTAGCTTATTAATATTGATTTACAGTATAAAAAAACTAATCGTTTCAATTTTGGCTTAAAAATCGTTAATACTTTTTTGACATTACATACGGGTTAACTTTTGTATTACAAAAGAGCTTAATCAGCTCAAGCATCATGGCCTCATTTTCGCTATAATATGAAAAAAGCATTTCTCATTAACAGCTATAAATCAATAGCTTTAGTGCTCCTATTGTATAAACTGGTTATTGGGTAGCCATAATTGAGTGGCCATATATTTTTTTGCAAAATCCGACGAATACCAGAAACTAGATAAATCAAGCAAATGAGTTTGGACCATGTTTATTGTGTTATCTTCCAAAGATACTCGCCTTTAACCAGATGATTTATTAAGGTATATACATTGCAGCCCGTCTGTTCGTTAGATTGGTTTGTAAACCATGCTTATAAATTGGCATGTACCTATGCTCTCATACACCCTGTTATTCATATATTGCATAAAAGTTCAATAACCTTTATTTTCGCATTTTTTCCGCATACCCTATTGCTATCGTATGTGAGCATCGTGCCAATTAATGGCAGTCGGTCCTTCCAACAGTAAAATAGGATTTTTGACAAGGGTTGTTACCTCCAGCAGCCGAAATCCTTGGCAACGGGCGGACTACTGACAGGCTTATAGAATATTTCGCGTAGGTTGAAAAATAATGATTGTAGTGATATTCACGCCGGTCAGACTGAAATGATTTGCAGCTGGTGTCGAACTCGGAACTTCATGATCATGAGCTCGAAACAACACGTCAGGCAATGTCAAGTATTGATGTCACATTTTTCTCAATCCGTAAATTAAAAGCTTCTGTATAAAAACGATGTGGGTCCTAATGTCTGTAGGTGAGTCTGCCTCAAGCAATTTTCGAAATAAATGAAAACCTTACTAATTGCCTAGCTATTCACTTGACTGAATCAGATTGATAGACCCAACCGATCTTTTCACGGAGCTCTGATATGACTCCATGTTTTGGGATTATAAGAAAAAAATCTTGTCCGATCCGAAAGTTACGAGAGACGGCGTGTTGCTTGCGCAACGATACTGCTTAACTCACTCGACTTTGTGCCAAGAAGCGGTTTTCCATCGATGCTATTTGCGCATAGTGCATGGATGTTCGTTTATTGACGTTTTTTCGACGAGTTTCGTTTATTAACGAGTCTTCGTGCCTAAACCAAAAAGTAGTTTGTGACTGACTTGACAAACTTTCTAAGACCAGTTCCTTATCCACTTTTTCGGCTGTGGTTACACGTAGTCGCTCGTCCAATTTGTTGCCATCTATTCAGTGAGCCTTGAGACTCCCCTGAGACATATCCGACCCGTATAGACCCTACTCGCTAGTCCAGCACCAAATGAGGCAGAGAGTCCGCGATGCGCTCATTACCGTCTAACTGCTAATTAGGAATATTACAAGTAAAACAGCTGTGCTTCATTTAGGGAAACTATACTAAGCCGAATTAACTACACTTTCGAGAGAATATTTTATTTTAGGCTATTTAGTATTGAACTAATTTACATGTAATGTACCTATGTATTAGACCCATGTGATACCTTGTACTGATTAGATAGCGATGTAGATGCCACATATTCTTGGTTTGCAATTGAAAACACATAGACCAGTGTAAAATTATGGTTATCATACAATTGCATGTCACAGCAGCATCTATCATATGCGCTGTGCCTTGTATTGTGTCTCTCTACTCATAGGCGAGATCATTATTCTTTCGATATTGATTGGCCTGTTGTATAATGTGAATTAAGGCGCTCCTTTGATGCACAGTAAACTTGTAAATAATTAACAAAACATAAAAGCAAGCATGAGCGCGACTTTTTCTATCCGGTACAAAGTATCTATAGAACATTCGAATATACACGCTGCGCGACGGTATCGTGGTAACGAGCTAGACATATTTATTTCATTGATATCGAAGTACTGGAACAATACGCTCTTTTTAGGCTGACTAATAACTAATTTAAGCAGCCTGTAAAATTTATGAAATTAAATTATAAGACTGTGTTACTAGTGAGTTTAGGATGTATTATTTAGTGTAGTTTAGGGTGATTAAGACCTCGGGTGGTCTCAGAGTGACCACTTTGTATCGACTTGCTAGCGATTTCAGCGAACCCAAAAGCTGATGCGTTACCATAATTTTTTATTCATTCATTCAAAAAACTTGCCTAAAGTTACAACGCTATACTGTGGGTTTGCCTGTATATTTAGCCCCAACTGCACTGTTTTTATGTTAGTTAACACACATTTTAAATCGATATGTCAATGTTGTACTTGATGTTAACTAAATGCGCTTTGTCCATGTACGTAAGGGCTAGATCGTATGCGAAGAAACCCTTGCAATATTTAGTCATGAGTGTTCCAACAACAGAGGGGGGTATGATGACTAGATAGCTAAGTTAGCAATTTTCGCTGGCTTTAACTGGAATCTCATAGCTGGCCAGCCACAGCTAGCTGAAGTTGCGCAAAAGTGATCCTTTATTCTTGATACAGCAAGGGGTCGCATCCTCTTTCTATCTTTATATGCTCGGGGGCGTTGCATGACGGAGCGTGTAAAGGTGCTGCAACAGGAGTGGGCGGAGTGGCAGTCTGATAACGTTTAAACTAACGGATCCGGCTTTAAGGCAAGATACAAGCATATATGTACATGACTTATAATATTTTCGAAACGTACTGGCGGATAAACTTAAGCGTCAATTTGTGGCTGTAACACTAGTATATCGCGCGTGGATTCGCTCCCGAGTTATTTTCCCTATCAGATCTGTTTATCTTGTTTCATCGTCAGGTTTGACCAGAGCGCTATTTAAATTGATTCGAATTGGCACCCTATTCAAGAAGGCGGGAGTTGCTGGTGAAAGCCGAACTATTAACATATATTATGTGTATGATTAAATAAAAAAAGCTTAATTATTGTAATTAGTATCGATTGTTTCCCTGGACAGATCATTAGCACATCGAATTTGTAAGGCGGATTTACACAACGATAATAACCTGACTCCATGGACACTGACTCTGTGATGTTTAATATGTTATGCGCTGTACAGCTACTTAGAGGAAGCTAAGTTTTCTCTGTTAAAGATACAGTACGCTGCACGGTTCAATCTAAAGTAAAACAAATATACTTTGAGCTCTATTATTAGTAAAGCTCTATTGACGTAATGTCTGCTCTTCCATTATTTTTAATTAATAGAATTTGAAATACAGTTATGAACATCAGGTTTGGGACGCATACAAATAGAAACTGTGACGGAAATGGCTAGATCGCCACAGGGCTTTAACGTTGAAACTATTCGGTGAGATCAAAATCAGAGAACACAATTTTTTTTCAGTTGTAGATTGCGCAAATACTAGCACTAAAGTGGGGCCTTAGAAAACAGTTGTCAGGAATTAACTTAATTTTGGATAATTAAATAACCATGACATAGCTGAGATATTCTAGTACTCTTTTAGAGAATCAATTCTTTAAAGAATTTGCACGAATGCGTTCAGCCATTGCTATTTGTAAGTAACTGTTACTACTTCTCATGGGACAAAATAGTTCATATATTTCAAAAATCAAAGCGCTCCTTTTTTGCTACTACAACAAACAAGGGCTATATGGGTAGGAAAAATTGGATAAGTTTGAATATCTTGACGATATCTTGATATTCGATCGTTGGTTTCGCGCCGAAACGTCTTAAACGATTCTTGCGCCTTTACTGTAGCCCTAAGAGAATTAGTGTGTAGAAGACTAACTGTTGTAGAACAGGCCATCGAATGGAACCTGGCTTCGCACTGAACTTCCGCAATTGCGATTATAAAAACAATGATCGATACTGGGAAAAGCAAAAAAATGCTCCTGACAATCATGAGCTCGAGAACCGATGCGTTACTAAAATGTAGAAAACAAATGCTTGTCGTCAAGGGATCCAATGAGAAGCTCCGATAGCAATTCTCATGTCGGATACATTCTAAATGCTCACTTCAGTTAGGATAGAAAAGAGGTTGATTGCACTGCTCGAAAAAAACGCGTGTAGATCTCCCCGCCAGCACTTGCGTTTAATTGACGGTGGTGATTACATAGGTGGTAACAACTTCCTTTGGTATCCACATGTTTTATTATACTGGACGGATTTTGTGCGATGTAAAGCTAGCATAAAGCCAACCTCTGAGCCCCTGCCGATATCCTAGGTTTTATCAACGGTTTATTGCAAAAAAGACGTATTTCGAAATAATATATTGCATTTCGAGGTTCAAACCAATGGTTTCTCGCCGTCTATTTTAAGAAATTCAGATGTCGGAACAACGGTGCCTTGGCAAGCCAGCCACTCACGAGTTAACCACCACTGTTGACTTCTCTATCTGCATGCTATAAATACACGAAAGCTGAACTAGTCAGAATTTTTTCTGCTTTACTTTGTGTTCCATTATAGTTCTATCTTGGTCAGGCTTCGAAAGTCATTTGCATGACAGACGACAACGATGGGACGTTTCCAGCTTTACTCTTCCCGAGCCGAGACCTCTGGACCTAACTCATGCGGGTGCTTTCTCCACTGGAACGAAGGAAGGGAAATTGTTCGAAACAAGAGGTAGCTAGAAGACAAACAACTGTTGTCGGCTGATTGAAAAATTTTGCACCTTCAGGTGCCCGATGCAGACGTGTCTGTTATACGCGTTTAGGGGTAGCTAAAGTTCCGTCAGTCGACCTAATACTTTCATCTCTAAGACTGTCAAACATTTATGTTCGCTTGTGTGCATGCAATGAAGAATTTTCGTTTTTCCCGGGTTAGCTTCTTGCGCTCACAACAGAGTAGGTCAGTCGAGCAGAATTCAGGGAGGCTTAGAAGCACAAGCGGTCTTCCTACCCGTAGAAAAGCTAAGCAGCAACCATGATTTAGGTAGTACTGGTAGTAGCATTATTACCAAGAGGGACTGTAAGGCCTGCATTCAATGGTGGGCTGGATGGTGACGTTCCCGTTTGCCTGTCTGTCTTTTCGTTCGTTCAGGTACGTGTATATAGCTATTATAAACGGATAAGTGGTCGTTGAGTTCCATGACTATTGCTGGCAGCGGCGGTGGCTTCCGTGAGATCCTATCTTTTCCAGTTAGTTTTTTTGGTTCAACAACCAAGGAAAAGGGAAAGAGAAAGGCGAACAAGTGACTGCCAATGTACCTGAAAACCAATTGCATCTTGCTGATGAAAGATGACAACAGCTAAAATTATTCTTTTGACCACTGTGGTCATGGTGGCTATTCTTGTTGGACAGGCGCGCGCGTTTAGAAACGAACAAACAGTAGTAAAAATAATAATGAACAGTTTAAAGAAGTGTCTGGTCATTTTTTTACTAACCGATTTCATTAGATCACCGATTGAGAGCTGAACCACCGCTGAGCTGCAGCCCGAAACAAAGCGCCATTTAAATTTAAACCCGAGGAGTCCAATTGAAAGTTTGGAAGTGACGCTAGCCTATAAGTTTTCACAATTACATTCGTAAAATAGAAGAGAATTGACCGTAGGAACAGCGTGTTATCTAACTGAAAAGTGCTCAGGTTATCTCTTTCTCCAAATGTATTTTGGTTGACAAAAGAAATTCACTAGTTTTAATATGGAACTCTTTCAACATGGACTTAAAAGTAGCAGTACGTCAAAATATACCTGGCTTGAATATCGATCCTGTGGCACAGAATCGTTTTTTAATCGACTCTAATTTTTAACCTTTTCAGGTCATTATCGTATGGCCATGTTTCGAGGGCAGTTTATTATTAAACGATGATTAATAATCTCTGACCAATCTTCGTAATCTTTGCTGGTTCCTTTTACTTACTTGCAGGACAATTCTCGTCTATCGGCTTGGTGGCGAATCTAGCGATGTCACTGTGCTTCAACTGCTTCGTGGTCAGATGTCCGTTATAGCTTCAGATCACAATTCTTCCTTGGGCGGAAATCTCTGGACGACTGGTTGTGCAAAATATGCTGCCCAAGAATTTAAACGGTTAGTATATGCACAAGACTTGCTCGCTAGGATACGCACATATTAAATCACTGAAAGTTTAATGACGGAGTAATTGTGCCACCTATACTCCGAGACAAATTCTATTTTTCTCTTAATTTGTGCATCGATATTTTGTTGGGTTAATAGATGGTAAATCAAACCAAATGTCTTTGTCGGGAAAATAGAAAAAAATCAAAGGTACATAATTCACCATCTTGTAAGCCTGACATACGAAAAAACATCATTTCGTTCTTATTCGTATTTTTTTTTCTTATGTAGGCATAGTGAAAAAACTTGTTTGACATGCTTTTTTTTCTATCTGCTGTTTACGTTTTATCTGCAATTTCCGTTTATCTAAACCGGTCGACACCTATTATCGATACTGAGTTATCTCATATACAGTTAAGTCGAAAAAAACACAACCTGAACGATAGTAGTAGTCAATGTAAAAACTATAAATCTAGAATATTCTTAACAAATAACAAATGTACAAGTTTACCATATGCTCAACCCTAAAATACCATAATAAAATTATGATAAGAGCAGATTTCGTTCTAAACGGCTAGCTAACTATTGTACTATTATTTTTGAATGTTGGCGCCGTTTTTTACCCCCATCGTGCGATCACGAGCACCGTCCCATTGCACTCGGTGTCTGCTCACATTTTGGCCATTAGGTTACAGCACGATATGATAATTATTGCACGCATAACTTACAACCGTGCAACCATTCGCGTGTGTGTCCAAGTAGTAGGGTCAATTCTACTATTTTTTTAAGGTAGAGTAGTACAGGAGATGTGTTCCAGGATTCGTGTAGACAGTCGTCAGCTTAGACTATGCTTGTGAAAAAGTCAGTATTGAATTTACCATAGAATTTCCAGGGAGTTTGGAAGTTGGGTGAAACGTTATGCTCGAAGAATTTATGGTAAAAAAACACACTGATAAAAGTAATATTGGGTTGTCGAGAAAGTATTGACCGTTCTAAAGCCAAAATTTTGTTCGTATTTTAAAATAATATTGCTAAACTGACTATGCGCCACTTTGATCGACAACCTTCTGCTATTTTTCCGGTAACACGGTGATCCCATCACTGCGGAACTGTTATGGTTTCTGGGCGAAAAATTGTGACAGGCCATTCTTGCATCCTTCCATTGGAACCGAATTAACAGTAGCAAGGAGGTTCTACAGAGGCCAAAACAGATCATGAATGGTATAAGATCCGAGCTATCTGGTGGATACATTTAAATTTTGGGTACAGTTTTTTTTAGATATTTGTCGGCTAGCAAACGATGTGCGTTATCAATAAATTTTCTGTTTTCTTGCCTAATAAAAACCAGCATCGCTATAAACAAGGGCGGAGGTCGCATTAAAAGTTAAAGAAGGGACATGTTACAGCAGCTAATATTGTTGATTTAAATGAGAGACTTTATAAGCTGCTCATTATTGTTGCTTGTCCATTTCGCCTCGCCTGGCACATTCACCCTACCAGACAGAGTAGAGGATACAAACTTAACCGCTATATATATACGACCGACAGCAGCTGGCCTGCAGCCTGCAGGACTCGCAAAACAGGTCGCCGAGATGGTTTTACAAGGAGTGAATTACAGACTATCTGGATGTTGCCCTCTAGGTGAAGTTACGCTTTTTTCGCCTTACTCTGCTTACAGCGTCTATAACACGTTCAGTTCCTGCTATTGCTTTGTGAGACAGAAGGTTATGAGTTCGTTTTCACAGTTAGGGCGGCCTAGGTTAAGTGTAAGTTATCGGCTCATAAACCAAATCGAATTTCTTCGAATTCGGAAGAAGTATTAATACATACGTTCGCTCTTGTTAGTCTTACATCATGGTTATACGAAATTTCAATTTGAAGTAGGTAGAAGTCTCCGTCAACGCCAGTCACACGAAAAAGTAATGAATACTGCGTGTCGGTCGTTACTAGGAACCACGACATGAGTCCGCGATGACCATCCATTGAAGCTGGTGTGTTGGAACTCTGTGGAAGGCCTTGATTGTAATCTTAAAATAATTATAGAAAACATCAAAAATGCATGCTTCGAAACCGCAAAAATCGTTTGTTTTAATTAGAAATACCACTTAAATCATTGTTAATGAACGCTGATGGTGTCCAATATCATATCGTTAGCCAAAGAAGAGAAAAAGGACTTGAGGGTATGGTGTAAGCAGTACCGTGAAACGGAGTAACATGGAAACGTATAAACTGAACATAGCGGGTCACAATTAAAAGTTTTGTAGAAACAACCAATTATTACAGAAGATAGATTCTTTTATAGATGTGATGAATTACATGGCGAGTCATATAAAACACTAACAGTAGTTTGTATGTATACCTGTTTACTTGTTATTGCGCCTATCGCTGCAAGAGAGATCGCTCACTCAGGTTTGCTGTACATCCTATGCATGTATTTGTATTTCTAGCGAAGTTATTATTGTATTCCATCACAAATTTAACGCACGAAAACTTGAATGGTCTAACGATGAACTAATGTTAGGTTGCTTCGTAGAGGTATGGGGTGGACGTGCACACACTTCATTGGAAAATACCAACCGTTTTAAGCAACGCGTAACGGCGACGCCAGACGTAGAGCTCCAATCATTTATTTATTTAGACACGTATAACAGCGTGTCCTGATAATACGAGATCTTTTTGCACTGTTAGTCTACGCGACCGAGATTTTGTATAAAAAGATGCTGCGTACTTCCTTGTCTTTGGAACTTCAGTGTGTTGTAAGTCAGGAAGTTCTAGAATACGGGGCGATAAAACATAAATGAAGCTCTTAGCAGTCGCGCAGAAAATATAATACAAAAATGGTTCAACGGCAGACGAGTGAGCTCAGCAGTGTGTAGATGTTCGGTTCTACTTATTGATGCGTAGCCTTTATAGTGATCAAAATGTGCCTATGCTTTTGTAGTGAAAGTGTACTTAGTCATTGAAGCCTGCCTAACTGCTTGTCCCAGCAAATTGGCATTTATTTCCACGTTCGTAATCCCTAGAGAACCTAGAGACTACCGATGGAAGTAGATACATAAAGACCAATGACAGCACTGAGGAACAGCTGTGGATGTAAAATTGCGAAAAGAGAATGCCCGTGTCGTCCATAACAGGGCCTACGTGCATTTCTATTGTAGAATATGCGTTCAAAGTAGTTCTAAAGAATGACGTGGGTGGCTATTTTGTTTGGCTGGACTATGTGTATATTTCACACAGGACTATGATGTTTTGTTCTTTTTATAGGTAACTATATGCTTTTTTGAAGGGCTAAATTAAAGGTTTGTTGAACGTTCTGAACATCGCATGGTAGCTTTTTTTCTGAACCATCAGTTACTAACGGTGTTGTCAGGTACGTTACGTTGTCGTAACAGATGTTGTACAGTTCTACGAACTAATTTGCACTCTGGGCTGTTCTGATGTACCTAGGAAGACACGGATCTCGTGGGATGATCTATCGAAACGCTCAAGGGGAAAAGTGTTGGCGGCAGCCGAGAGGGCCAAGCACGTACTTAGCACAATGGAGAGTTGCAACTGCAGTGTCGAATCAGTGCACGAAGGCCTTGACCTTAATGTAGCGTTGACTCGAGCACGATTTGAGATGGCTACTCAGGGCCATCTTTTACGTGTCAAAGAGGACATCTTCGACCTGCTCGAGAAGGTCGGAGTTCACAAAGATCAAATACACATGGTAGGTTTTGTTCACCTATTTGTTGGCGATCCCAGAGAAATCATTGGCATTCGCCGCAGCCGTCGTGGCTCCGTTATCATCCGTCATTTTAAATCAGACTTTATGAGACGAAGCTTCTGTACGTAAATAGCCTTGCTGGAACCGGCGATTTCCAGCGTGAACTATAATGTATTCATCATATTATATAATCATGTGTGTGTATGATATCTACTTAATATGTGCGTTAATGAAGCAAGATAATATTATGACATTTAATGACGATATTGTAATAATTAGCTTATTATGTTGTGTAACCCAGTAAAGATTTACCTACTAAGGTATATTATTTCATTACATTGTCTTCGGTAAAAAATTGATTTTTTTCATTGCGGATTTTTCAGTCTGACAGCCCTCGCAGTATTGCAGTTATTACGTATGTGTTGTCAGCTGTTATAGCCCAGTAATCGTGCTAGGTTTGTTATACGTACCCTAGTTAAAAACTGATAGCGATAAATTATTGATTTCAGACTTCGCAATCGTGAAAATCTGCTCAGAGAGACTGTAAACCATACTAGTCGCTGTCCGCCTAGACTCTAATTTTATCATTGCTCGATTCAATAGTGCAGCAAGGGGCATCGACTTAAACGTCCAGGTTGAAACGCAGCAGTATTTATCCCATTCTTTCGCACCATTAACCGAGCATTTCATTTGTTATGACTGTTTGACAGCGAGCCTTCGACTCCGTCTGCATACGGTACAAAACTATCCGCCGCCTGAAGACTTACTTGATATATCTTGCGTATAGGATTCAAATTATTATTATATTATTTGGATGTAAATTGCGCGGGCGCACACCTAAGTACGTGATTGCTCTAGGATGACATTGTACGGTCACTACCCGTGCTCTTTAAAGGGCTTTGTAATTATATTTGAAATTTTGTAGAACTTCCTAAAACAATGTCGTATGTTGTTTTTTTGCTTTAGTGGTTGCATAAGGTTAACACAGTATTATTTTAAAGCAAAAAACTAACATTTAGACGTTAAGGATAGTCAAAAGAAATTCGCGTTTCGAGAATGCTTCGATCTAAATTGGTACGCGTTCCTAGCAGTGACCAACACGGATAGGACTGTCCTGCTTTCTCGTTGAACAAGCCTGCTTATGGCCAACAATAGACGTTCGAAAAATGTCTGACAAATGAAAACAAATCGGGTGCAATGCAAAGGGCAAAGGATCTAAACAAAAGCAGTTTTCGAATGAGATGTGTTTTTGTCTCATTATTCGTTCACATCTGTGTCAAGAAACCTACAGAACAGTCATAGTAAAAGTGGTATATATGGGAAGTTTTTGTTCATTAGGTTTCACTCTTCAGTTCACTTTTCATTCGTTATACGGTATGGGCATCCATATTTCTGCATTCTCTTTTCCAATGAGCCTATCTCATTCGCGAAATTAAGCCAATGCTCATCATTCTTTTTTTCATATAGACGTGCAATATTGAGACACTAGTTATTCCAGAACTTCTTCATTACGTCGCCATACTCACATCAAACATGCTCACTGCAAAACTGGTTAAGCTAAGGTAGGTAATGCTCTAAATGAACGTTACGAACAGAAACCCTAGTGAAAATGGCAGAGCTATTTGTCGCTGAAAAATTAAATCGCATTCGTAGTCATCTATATAAAAATCTGCAATGTAGTGGGCTTTTTTTTGCTTATCTTAGATCGTCTTGAGTGGTGGTGGATGCAGGATGGTCTCTATTCAGAAGATGATCTCCGCCGAATTTTCGAAAGCCGAGCTCTGCAACGGGATTCCGCCAGACGAGGTTATTGCCGTTGGAGCAGCCTGGCAAGCTGAGGTGAGTTTTCAAACAATGGAAGGAAATGAGAACGGCGCTTTAAGTGATTTTACTTCGTAGTTCTTTATATCTGAATTTTTTCTTATTAATTATACACCGGATCATTTGACAATCAGCACTTTGCATTGTTACGCGGAAAGAGATCTAAATGTCCTCCTATGTGTTTATCAATCAATATATTTTATAATAGAGCATCTTAGTTGTTCAAATCCTTGTAGAAACTCCTGTGACAGAAACAGCTAGTGCTGAATAGCTTGACGGACACTCACATATTTTTTTACTTTAGAAAGGAGCCTTCAAAATAAAGAGTAATCTATAAATTAATTCTAATACATGTATGTACGCCCCCTAAACGGCTAATCGCTTCTATGCTTAAAAGTATGATAAATGCTTCTACGAATAGGATTCATCCGATGGTTTCTGTTTCATTTTGTTAATATCTTAATATCAAGCGAAACAATGGTTTTGTAAGAAATTTCACTGGAGCTCTTTGCTTTCATAATCATAATCGATGTTGTTTTTAAGTACGTAGTTTTCATCTTATAAAATATATCATTCAAAATAGATATTTTTTGTATATTAGAGGGCTTGGAAAGAACATATTCAGCAGCGGGGTAGAACGTGGTACAGTTCCATGTTATTGTTGCAATAATAGTCTTCCGTCTCGTTCGGTCTTGTTGTTGACGTGCTCAAGGAAACTGAACAGGAGTTTACTAAACACTTGCCTTGAAAGAATTTAAATAATTAATTTGAAGATTTGAGATCGTTTCATAACAGCCACACCTCTGACAGTCTTCTCACTGTGAGCAGGCACCCTTATAAAAGTATTGCAGATAGATAATTTTACTTCTCCTTTAGCTCTGTCTTAATACAGCCAACTGTCTCAGGTTTAAAAGCAATTGCAATATTTCTACGCAAGACAAAATAATTACCGTCTTCGCATCTCTTACATATTAGGTTTGCACAGGTTGAAGTCTAGTCCCTTAATGATATTTTAGCTAGTATTCAGCGACATGTAACCTTTAACATGCCTGCAATATGTACATATGTATATACGGAACGTACGAACCGATTTGTCACAGTAAAAACAATATTTTTAGAAACATTTACATAACATGATTTTATTTGTCGGAACTGGTAGTTTGCCACGTGGCCCTACAGTCTAAATAGAGTGTAGTTCTCTAATAATAATATTCTTTATTAACGATATTGCTAATTAATGTAAGTAATATAAGTAAAAGTTCTTTAATAATGTTGAGTCAATAAACGAAAATTGGCAGACAGCAAAGATTATACGTTTAATGTGCCTACTCACAACAGAAAATGAACGGCAGCAAAAGCATACCCATATCGTATAAGGCACCAATATCCTGCGAATTTGGACATATTTAATAAAACCTAATCGTTTTAACAATACAGTTGTCATTTTTATTTTTCGCGCAAAGAAAACTATGGCCACTGTAATTCAGTTCAAAATTTGCGCTTATCTTAAAGGGTCTACGTCTTTGCTGTGTGATTTCATAAACTAGCGCTAGCGCATTTTTTCCATCCGCCGCTTCACTTTAATGTTCTAATCGCACGATAGCAGCGCCATCTAAGCGCTGTACATTCACCACGTTACGATTAGTTGAGTCAAGTGAACACGGAGAGTATTGTTATCCTAATGGTAGCCTTATTTTTTCTACTATGTTTTTCTATTGTTTAGGTTTTGCTGTCTAGAGGCGCGGCAGGTGCCGAGGAAGACTCTAAACATCTCCAACCTACTGTCGAATTACCTGCGCTTTCGAAAGAGATCGCTCTCAAGGTTGGTAAAATAGTTCCCTCAAAATTTAAGGTAGTGTTACTATAGGATAGTTCGATCAAATATCAGATAACCAAACTCTATTTGAATTTCTATTTACGTAGAGCGCTCTTCCTTCTTGATCTCATTAAGCTTGCGTCCCTGTTTGCATCAAGGCCATTTACGTTGTCGTTGTAACCGTTGTTGATCTGACCTTGTCAGAACGAGGTCCGATAGTAAACTGCAATACTTTAGTGCAAGCTATCAATTGGTTAAAAGGCTTAAGGGAGTGAAAATTGTTATTAAAATTATTATTAATTAAAATGCTAAATTAGCGCACTACCGTCAATTACTGCCAGTCGGCTTTTTGTTGTAGGACTTTCCGCTTTTGCACCGCTCGCCAACGAGTTGCGGCTAGTAAATCCACGGTCAGGAAAAGTCTCATATTTTTTCTTCAATCTTCCTTGTTGTCATTTTATTACATTAATGCATTATATTTCATATAATGGTGTCCTCTTGCTGCAAATTCATGAGAAACAAGTAATTGTGAAATCGCTACGTAAAAGCGTCATAAGGACCAAATTGTGGACCTTGTAGAATTACATTGGCCATGATATTGATAATGACCTGAGTCTTAGGTGTTGAGCTTAAGATTAGATGCAACGGCCGTCACAATTATTGCCGTTTACTTTATGAACAAAAAACAATGGTCTGAGTTGGAACCAAATAAAGTGTTGCTTATCTATTCGTCAGTGGATTAAGCATATAGCATAAAAGTATTACGCATGGGTTCTCTGATTCTTGTCCAATGGTCACGATCAAACGCGACGTCCTGTACGGACATACGTTCAGACTGTACATGCGTGCACAGCATCGGCAGGCGTAATCGTCACAGCTTATAGCCGGAAGAAAATAGCATTAGCGGCAATCGTTCCATTTATCGTCAGGGAAAAAGACGAATGAGTGCAAGAGAATTGTTTAGAATAATCCGCATACAACGATTGTTCCCAGCTGAGTCACGCACTCCTTACAGTTGTCCTGGTGTAATCCTTGTAGGATTAAGCTTGAAGCTTTCGCACACCCAACGGGAATTAGAAGAGTCTTTAGATAATTTAGTTCGAAACCAAGCTGGATTTTATTGGTGGCTTTTTTTGTTGTTTTCACTAGACATGGCGAGAGTCCTTCAGAACAATTCCCAATCTGGCATAGAAAATCACGCAACGAAAAAATGCAGATTTTTGTGCTAGTTTGATGAATATTCATAGATAAAAGCGAATTCCATGTTTGCTTTAGACAGTTTTGAATAGTGCGATAAATTCAAACTTGTTGGCGTATATTTCGGAGACAACAAGTTCTGGCTTAAAAATAACTATGAATATTCTTGCGAGCAATATATGACATTCTTCTGTAGTAAAAGTCTAAGCATGATGTGGTCGGTATGAATTTGGCCTTTCTGGAACGCTGTTCACAGTATTAGCTATTGTATATAGCTTTAAGTGTAGATGGTGCAAATGTAAATCCTGTGTAAATGGATAGCCGTGTACAATACATTTAAGAGGGCCGCATTGCCTTCGATACTTAGACCCTCTGTTTGCATGACGGTACTTGAATAAAGATAAAACCTTTCATCGAGTGGATCAATAAGATATATAGCCGCTGTTATATATGCAGCTTTCGTCTACAACGGCCTTGCCAGTGATATTCGTAACCATTGTCGCTTCCGAGCTTTGTCTAATACATTTTCGTTTTTTTTTTGTAGATCGATGACGAGTGATTTAAAGCTCAAATTTTTTTCAATTGTTATTTTTGGTAGAAACATTTAGTCTCTAAAGCTGGCTTGGGCAAACGAAGTATTAAGCTTCAAAACATAGATATATGAGAATAGCTGGGTAATAGTTCTTGCCACGAGATAACTTTTCTCGTCTGGAATTGCAATATACTGATGCCGCAATGGCATATCACCTTGAATTGTCAACCTTTCGTGTAGGTTCACCCACGTATTCTCACAGCAAATATAAATCGCTTCAAAAATACCCCGTAGACACGAGTTAGTTCCATTCCCAGCAGCGGCGGGCCGCCATCGCATGTGAGGTCATTTTTTCAGCGTTTAATGTTTCGAGGAAGAAAGCTCAAATTTAGCTGCGACCGCAAGCCTGGTTTGGCTGGCGTGCATCTGTGCAGACCTCTTTTTAACGGTTCCTCGATTGTCTTGTATATCAAGTATGTTGTTTTTCAAAAAATTGTTCTTTGAAAAATTAATCTAGAAAATTCTCTTCCTCAGTGAAATATACTCGTTGCGCGAAACACTTTTGTGCCCGTAACGGAAGACAATGAGCACACGAAGGAAAGAAGTATAACCTACTAAAGCATGGGCGTGGTCTTTTTGCCAACTGTGGTACCTTCTTGAATCGAATTTTTAAGTGTACATGTTACAGATCCTACGTTAAAATCGCGTTCAATTTATCAAATTAATACCACTCATGAGGTTTTGGCGTAGGCTCTATTTGTGTTTTTACGTACATTTTGCTTCTTGAGTATATTCTATTTTACAGGATTTGTTGAAAATAAAGCTTGTCCTTTTGTAACTCGAGTACGAGCTCACTTCCGCAATAGAAATGGGCATGCGGTCAAGTAATGACCTGATAACACGAGATTTGTCCAGCGTATTCTTACATGTTATGTTCCAGATGCAAATCTAAACAACAATGTTCCAATGTTAAGTATTATCATGAAAGATACCGACTTACGATTTGGATTCAATCAAACATATTTATCAACAATTACGCGTATTCAAATCGGAACCATTGCTACCATGATTCAGGGAGTCCATAGAGATTTATATCAATTAGCAATACGAATCCTTCTAATGAGCTCTAATGGGCATTGTAACTGGCCTCAACGAGGGCTTTTAAATTCCTGTAAGTTGAATTCCACGTAAAAGGCATGTTTGACCCATTTTACTGTCGTACTGCGGATAAACGACAGTGTAGCTTGACCTTCGAGATAGTCCAGAACGCGCCCAGGCGCTATCGCAAAATTCGATTTTGCATTGAACACCTTGAGGAAGCAAGCACGAAACGCGTCCTTAATCAAAAAATGCCCTTTACTCTGAACCCATATCGCTAGCTGCTGCATTGGCAAACTGAACTACCATCTTCTCAAACGAAAGCTAGAATTTAAACCTTTCCCTTGGTGTATTCGTACTATTTCTAATTGCGAAAATCTAAATTCATGTCTGTAAAGTTCCGAAACGGGACACAGGTCAAAGCTAGTGTCCTTGACAACGGACACGCAAGTACCACGATTAGCTACTATTTGCATTGAAACTAAAAGCTAATTAGAAAAAGGAATTTTAAGGTGCTCTCTGTAGTTAGGCGCATGTCGTTTATACGAAATCTGATGCAGCAGATCATTGCTGTTTCGCAGGACTGATCCTAGAGAAAACGACGAAGGAGCAGGGAATATCCGTACCCAGCTCTGCAGACAGCTGATTAATTCCCTTGGCACTTGTCTAGGCCCATTTTGGGGACCGCATTGTTTTCTAACGAGGGAAGTTAATCCAAAACGAAAAAAAAAGACCAACAGCTAGGTTTTTCTCGTTAAGGAGTTAGGCAGGACGCTAATCAGTCGACTTGTGGGGTGCCGTGGGCCGTATTAAACGCAGTTCTAAGTATGATCTGTAAGCTGGGCAGGAAAGAGTAAGGAAACTTCGGCTGAAGAAAGCCATTAGGGAAACGAATTATGTCAATGAAGTAGCTGAGCTTCGTCTAGGGATGGTACACTGGAGGAGGGGTTAGGAACCGTTAAATGTTGAACAGTAATATAAGACCTGCTCGGAAAGGTTGTAGACGAGAAAGCCTGCCACAGTCATAAGGTTCTCAGCTATGGAAAACAAAACGGGATAAAGAATCTGGAAGTGAAAGAGATAACGAGATTTGGCAACTTACTTAGCAAACTGTCGAAGTTGTCGGGGGCGTCTATAGGGATTGAACAAAGCAGATTTACCCACCAGTTGTATCTGTATCCGTTGGACTCGCCCACGGCAAACGAAATTGATGCTACGATAATATGTACGGAAGTGTGCAATACTTATCAAGTACTATACTAACGATCGCGAAATTAATGAAGAAATATGAATTGTCTGCTTTTTGAATGGTGTGAGGTTTTCTTTACGGCCTTAAGCTGCAACTAAAAAAAAGAAAGAAACGCGCAAACTTCGATTAATACTCTTCTTCAAAAGTAGTTCTGAACATATCGATATGGTACATTGTGTAGTTTTGTTGTGGTTTGCTCTACCGTATAGAGCCTTTGTAGTGTCATCGGGCCCGCGTCATCGATTCGAGTATAGGGATTTGTGTTTATATTCGTGAATAAATATCGTCTGCACAGAAACGCCACGACGAAAGCATTAAAGCTAACACATATAATGGCATAATCATTGCATTGCTTAGGGCAGTTAGGCTAAATTACGCAGGAGGCATTTTGAAATATGTAAGCGAACTCGATTGAATTGCATTGTTCTTTCAAGTCTGTATATGAAAATGTATTTATCTGATAACAGGATACTGCAAAGAGATTTGGGAGGCCACGTAGGACTGCCCCTACGCACTCTCACACACGGTTCTTTTGCAGAGCGCAAAGAAGGCGTCAATCTCCGTATGTTCATGTATCATACTACCCGTACCAAATTGACGATCTGTTAAAAAATCCGGTAAAGTCTCTAGCCCTCAGCAGATATTGTTAGTCGTAATGAACTTCATAGCGATGTTGCCACTAAAAAGGGAATTGGTCCCGTGACAGTTATGTGGAAATATATTTATGAGATTCGTGTTAGGCATCGAATATAGACGCAATGTTGATCGTGGGAGACGGGGCCCGACATCGATTCAATGTGAAGCGTTCAATTTATATGTGGTTTACAAAACCTGCCCAAGCTGCTACGGATTCAAGCTTAGGAATTGGTCGAAACGTTTGCTGCGTGCGAGACCGCGTTCAAGCTTTACGTTCAGGAAGAAAACACCATGTTCTTACTTTCATTATAAACGCTTTTAAATTGCAATTTTCGGCTCAGCGTTGTGCATCCATAATTTTCCTATTAGTATAGCTTAAAAATGTGTTGTTAATTGGCGTCATCTTAAAGTCCAGCTAATCATTTCATGTTTATTACAGCTAAAAGACGGCTCCACAGAAGCTATTCTACCGAAAGGCAGCGCTGTTCCATGTCGCTTCGAGGCTCCAATAACGCTTGCGGAAGACAAATCTTCGGTACAGGTGCTCCTTTTACAGGGCGGTGAACCCTTGGCGAAACTCGTGATGAAAGATCTCGATGAAAATAGTAATCTGACACTCACCGTTGAGGTAAGTTTTGAGCGTAAGAAACTGCTCCACTTGGTTTATCCCTATCGTGTTAGTTACCTAGACGTTCGATCAGGACACCTGATCATCGTTTTTCTCTAGTGTCCACAAGTCGAACATTGCTCGGCGAGTGGCCAACCTGCAAATCTGATTTATCTAAGATCGTACATTTTTCTCATCTTTCAACTGACCCTTAATAGGTTTTTCACGACAACAGGCCTATAATGGGTATATTGTCTGACGTCGGCGGATACCAGAAACCTCCTGTGTAACATGCGGATAGCGGCAGGTGAAGCCGATTATCTTTTTATGCCCCTTCGCGTTCTATTGTCTTTCTCGCTGCACTTTTCCTAACTTCTAATCTATAACTGTTTTGCTGATGGGCAACGTCTCCTCATAGGGCATTGACGTAGCGAGTTGAAGCGATACGCGTAGAGAGGGAAAGAGGTTATTGGTGTTTTGCGGTACACGATCAACGATATTGGTAGCTGAGATATTTCGAAATACTTTACGTTTCATTGCTCTGTTTTCGTGCCCATGTCATCGATCAAGTATTAGAAAAAAATGTCCTTTCTCTATTATTCGTTACGTTCGAATCGGATTATCTCAGTACAATGGTACTAGTCAACTTTGGCAAGCTTTTCAAAACGTGTATGGTCTTTTGTGAGATTTTCAATTCAAATCCAAGGTCGCGGCTACTATATTCGTGTACAGCACCTGAAGTTCTCAACTTCGAAGTAAATCCCACATCATTCTTTCCATCGGGGTAGATTGCTACTTGCCAGAGTCTACAGAGCTGAGAGTGCCTGTACTAGTTACGATAGCAATAACATAAGCAGCAGCAAAGTCTCCGGTTAGAGAGAACGAAGATGAATATACTTAATTAAAGCCAATCGCACGGGGCATCATATAACAATTCTCCTTGTTTATAGACATGAGACGAAAAGCGGCATACGGTGTAGCCGGTGCTATGTCGTGGCTGAGCTGTCAAAGCAGACAGTAAGCGACGTCTTCTGCTACTAGTAGTACAACGTATTTCTATGTTTACGTTGCTCTCTGAATTATCATAGTGGCAGAAGTCTGTTATCTAACGAAGACAGCTAAGGGCCAGTTAGAGGGATAAACTATAAAGCATTTAATGAATGACAGTCTACGAATGAGCGCAACGGTTCTTGTTGCAAAGTTATGGTAGAGTGGTCCTTGAAGGCAAAACACAATACTGAAACTTTGCTATTATTCCTCGTAATGCGCTAGGGTAATATTCATTATTTTTACTGCATCATCAGTGTCTTTCTATACCTGTCTTGTATGGGTCCTTGACATACACGAGATACCTTTCGTACCAATCAGTTATTTATTCCTTGTCGAAGGTGTCATGGCTAAGCTGTCTGCGTAAGTCACGAACTCAACACGATTGAATCCACTGCTGTCAAAAGTCGAACATTGTTCGTTCCTTGACGCTGGCGTCGTCAAGAATTCGATCCCTTATAGACAGTGGCTTGTTTTCCAGGGTCTAATATAAGTGCTGTTGGCTGAGTTCGCAAGTTACTAGAAAATGAAGTCATATTCGACCGCACGGAGCTCTAGAGTAAGGCTGAAAAATTAACATCGGCTGCTCTGGAAAGCAGCTTTTAGATGAGGATGCACAGTTGTTGTTGTCCTGCCCCTGATTTGTTACTAAAAACAGTGACACGGAATTAGCTACTATACACATACGTACATGTAAATTCGTTACTATAAAGGTCTACTGAATACTAAAAACATGTAGACGGCGATGAAACTGATCCGAACGTGACATGAACTGGTCCGGCGTCGTCGGTATCTCAGCGAGGGCTGTTCAAGGTTCTACACAGGACTACAATCCGTCCCATAAAATTCTAAATAAAAGTACACTTTTATTATGTTCAACGGGTCATTTACAATTTTCAGGACGCCCTATTTAACAAAAAAAAAAAAGCAAGCTAGTATTAATCTCCAATAGCTAAAGCACTATGTGTTCGATCGGCAGGAGTGCCGTTCTCTACATCCATCCTAAAAAGCCATCCACTAAGAACGTCTCGTTTTTGGGCGTCTGTCTATTGATCGACCACCTGGGCTTGATGCGAACAGGAGAAAAAGATATTAATTCAGATCGGCAAATCGTAAACTGAATCGCAAAAATGGCTAACGGGAAAGTCGAGTAAAATTAACGTACGTATTGGGACACAAAATTATTACTAAATTAGTAAAAATAACTGTAAAGAGATGTACATCGGAGCAAAGCAAAATCTGAAGCTGAACGAAAGTAAATATCGAAGCATAGGGTAATGGTTGATTCAATAAAAAAAAATTGGGGAATGATAGACAATAATAGGACAATAAATGGTCAGTAGAGAAGAAAAGGCTCATGTGAATGATCGTGGTGTAATTTAATAGGCGACAGTACCAAATATGAGACAAACCCTATAATAACATAACAATTTCCTACATCACTCAGTGGAAATGTCTCCGCAATCGCACTATTGCCATAATTAAAGCAGATCGAGTATATAATAGCGACGAGAGACATGTTTACTTGGCGGGTTACTACATACGTCCTCAACCTATTAAGTTATCTTAGACGACACATTTTCGTTAAAACTGCCAGAGCCATTTTGAGTTTTGTTGGTGGGAGAAATGATTTAGCTTTTTTTCATACAATGAAATAGACGTGCTTGTCCATAATCTGTGCGCTGTCGTTTTTGTCGAATGCCCAAATGTTCTTCAGCTTACGATGGCGCCTCGTTTTCACTAGCGTGCTTTATCTCTTGTCTCGTAGGACCGGCGCAGGTCAAACATGGCGTTGCATCGTTCGCCTAGGTGGCTAGCTAGAAGTCTGCCGTTAACAAAGTGACCTGTAGGACAGGGTCTTAACGTCACGGATCATTCAGTCTCAAGGATGTAAAGATTGCAATAACCAGCATCATATATTGAGATACACCTTTGTTGTTTGCCTTAAATAGACGTTACGATGTTATGAGTAATTTTCATTCCCAAAGCCGCCTGTTTTTCCGGTTGCTTTCTGACTATATGGATTTGATCAACCTAACGTTACTATTAATGTTAAATGGCCAGATTCGGATGTTTACCACCAACGCTACGTTAGCGTCATTTGAGGTACGGAACAAAGACGAAATATTGTTGCCTGACCGAAACACAAGTGCGGCAGCTTAGTCGACGATTATCAGAGAAGATGGACTAACTTAAAAGAGCAACTAGCAAAACTCACAAGAATGTATTGTGTGTGTTATGCATCTAATTGTCTTACCAGAATTCAAACAAATGTTTATTCCTCTCGAACACATAGGACCAAATTATTTTAAGATGGTAAATCTACTCATTGTTTGGACCGTCGTCGACAGAAATGACACCCAAATAGCTAAACGCTGTCTGCGCTACCTCTTATTAAAACGTTGGAATATTATTCTCTGTATATTTTCATAGGTGTCAGAAGAACGGACTCTGCATTGCCAATGTTTGGACAAGACGAGCAACCGCGTAGAGAGCGTCGTGGTTACCTAAGTTCCAGTATTCATTACGTGATAAGAAAAATCGATCTGAAACCGGCAGTTTATAGATCACCTATACGCTACGGAAAGTAATGGTCTATTAACAGTATACGCGTCTGAAAGGCCGCAGAAAGGATAACCATTTTAACGGCGCCGAGGACTCAAATTTCTCATGAGAGCTATAAAGCAATGAATAAAGAAATGTTTATACTTCTTGATAAGCGCATTGCCTTTTCATCCATGTTTTTTTTTTGATGGTTTTAGACTAATGATGGGAATGCACAGTAAATCATTTAGACGTCAACCCGCTTTTGCGTTTCTGTCCCACAATCTATTTTGATTTTTGTTGATATCGGCCATAAATTAGATGCACATCGTATATTAGATTAAGCCGTAAATCGTCCTTACGACCTCAATGGCAGGTCCTCTTCTTTTCATTCTTGATATGCCAAGTTTGCTCGTTGATTTACTTGTGGATTTCTCGAGACGAAGTGATGGAGCACATATAGAAGAAGCGACACGCAACCTCTTATGCATTTCAACCCATGGCATGCTACTTCGAGTCGGCTGCACGGCGTAGAAGTTTTGGGGACTCTAGATTGTGAAACAAAGCATATTAAGAAGCAGAGCTTCGATGGGTGCTGTGTAGGCGGAGCGCAATGATCACGCCAACTGTACCGAGGGGAAATTTAAAAATGGCTGCGTTCGCGAACTAAAGCACGCTGCCCTAGAGAAGAGTGGAGCTCACTCGAGCTTGGCTGTACGTCGAACAGTGTGCACGTGTGCAAATATGCAGATTTTTAAACAAATTTCCTGCCACATACGCCCCGTTTCACAAGCGTAACTGGACTGTTGTAGATTGTATATTTTCAACGCGTTTCAAGAGGAATTTAGATAAAAAAGCGACAAAAAAAATAAACCGAACTGATACCAGGATTTACTGCCACTATGCTACATCATGAATTATCAAGCATAAACATCAGAACAAGCGAAAGCGCTAAAGGATATAACTGTTTTTAAAGATAATACGATTCAAATGCGTATACCCTTCCCTGGCTTAAGAAGGGCTTGCTTAACTCGCAAAAAAAAGCGTACATCGGAGTGAAAATAGAAGTTTCGTTTAAATAAAATAGCCGTCCGGGGAAGTCTGATGCTTAAATGAGTCATATGTGTTAATATGCACATAATATTCTAGCTCTTCGTTTCTTGTTCTCTGCTTTCCAATGAGTTGAAGTACACTCTGATGGCAGGCGAGCCGGCTGGTAATCAGGACTGCGAGTTTCTCGAACTTGCAAACGTGACTTAACGCTGTAACTTTAATTAATAACTTGAGTGCAATTATTGCTTGATCCGTGAAATATGAAAATGGTAACGTCATAATCTGGCCTGAAATGGAACTGGGATCAAGGGCCACCAGTTTCGTACAGTTGTTGTATCAAATAGTAGCGGTTGCTTGCTGCGCTATAGAAACGTGTGTTTGTCCTGGAGACACGTCTTACGTGAGCAATATTTTGTTAACCTTTGGTTTTGAATAGATTACGATTAATGTCCTTTATGCGACTTGAAGTACAAAGATGGCTATGATCTGGTAATGAACTTCAAAATGGCGTTCACAAAAAAACAACTCGATGTATTTGCATTGCAGGCTTTCTCAATTACAAGTATTATACAGATAAGATTTTACCTAAATAAATATCTAAAAAAAGTGAGCTTTCTTCATGGTACTTATTTGTTTCACTTAATTTTCAACCATTTTTTCGCGCACATTTCGTTCTATCTCTAAAATAACGACACGGATCTTTTGATTAAGTTTGCCTGCTATTAGCGGGCTGTTGTAGGACGAGAATACCCGGGCTATTCAGGAAAAAGGCTTACATTCCCAAAAAAAAAACACTGTCCGATACGACATGTGGGCTGAAGGCACGATTGGCTACTTTTTCTGGACGAAACTGTAAACTGCACACTGTTCGCTACCAGGAGCCCTAGGCTTTTTCGTACCCCAAACCTTTTTAAAAAGTGTGCAAAACATTTGGCTTCAGCGGGGTGGTCTACCCTCCACGCAACAAATAACGCAATCGTATTCTTACGGGATCATTTCGATAAACGGTTGCTCTTGAGGCACGGTGATGTCGAATGGCTTTCAAGATTACGCAAGTAGACTACGCCCTTTGCATGGAGGTACCTACAAAGCAAGATGTACTTACAAACTTAAAAAAAGTGTCCATAGCGCCAATTTCAGATATGGGGCTAGATGTATGTCGAAAAATGCGTAAGGTAAATAAACCGACAGTCTTTACCTTATTAATGATCTATTTGCATATAACCTTATATGTATAAAGTTTGTAATAAACAAAAACCTATTTAAATACTGTTAATTCTATATTGTAGACGCCATGTTCGAGTTGCTCTCTAGCCGGCAAGACGACCAAACAGCCGTCATTGTATTATTATATATATGTGTATAAACGCAGTTCTGTCTTTTACGTCGTTGGCACGAAAAAGTGCTAATGTCTAAATAGGCCACACCGCAGCTCTAAGGAGTAACGAGTATCGATTGCTTAGCGAGGTATCATAACATACATTGAATTATACTTATTTATAGCAGTATTAAGGTGTATTGATGTCATGTTACCCACTCGTAACCTTAAACGTCCACGGCTCATTAGTAGAGAAATATTATATATTGAATCTGTATTCGCGCTATATTTTTATTGGGGTATTCCTTTTTTGTTTTCTATTGGGTATGTCTGTGAACTGTATTAGCTTATATGTTGCCGTAATCATCCGCCCAGGAGAACTTACGTTCGTAGAACTCCGAACCGGACGAGGGATTTGATTGGGCGTACGACGCTTTTCATCGCTTTGGTGTATGATCTCCTGTCGCTTCAGTAGCTTAAGGACGTTTAGACGTAATGCCGTTGTTGTCTCGTATGCTGTATGCCGCTATTGAGGTTTACATGACCCATTATTACTGTGCCTCCCTCTAGTTCGCTGCATAGGCTCTTACGCAGATGTTATGAGATGTCGAATCGTTTTGGGTGCTACATAAGGCTGAATGTTCCAAATTTGCGCGGGCCTTTCAATATACTTTTGAGTTTGTTAGAAAATGTCGCTAACATTTTATTCACTATCATAAATAAGTGAGGCAACTGTTTTTAATAATTTCCAACAAGTTGAAATACAAACATACCAATGACTGCTAATACAGTTAAAACACGATAGTTAATATACGCGCAAATATTTGAAAGGCTATAATATCGTTTATAAAATTACGGTTGGCTGAGGTGAGTAGGCAGTACAATAGGTAAACATTCGCGCTCCGGAGTAGCCTGAGTACACCGAATGCTTAATAATAGGTGATTTGTTGAAATCACACGCCAGCGTCCTGCATATGCTTCTGTATCATGAAGAAAAAATTAAATTTACAGATCTGCTGATATAACAGTATTCAGATAAAGGATTATTCTCTATTTACAAAAAATCAAGACTACCAAACATCAATTTTCGTTTGGTGCCTAGCTCAGAAAGAAGATCATCATTTTGCTATACCATTCCTTGTAGGGCTATGCAACTTGGTGCATGCGGCATGAAATACTAATTCTAAATTATTCACGCAGCGAATGTCGAAAGGAGGAAGCTTAGGGATGGAAGTAATAGCGACAAGGTTCGAGTTACTTAATTATCGTGTCTTATAAAGATGGCATAAATTATAAATTCCAGAATGCAATTAAAGATTTTGATGTCATTACGTCTACGTGCTTAAATTACCCACAGTATACAGCATACATTGTGCTTCACGATGTTCTATGTGCATTCTATCGACTTTTTTTGATGAAAGCCCTTTCTATGTAAAACATGCTTCATATGTATGTTAAACCAGGCATAATCTATCCAACGTTCGTGCCGAATCCAGGCCCAATTAAAGGCAGGGAGTTTCTAGAAAACGCCAAAGCTAGACTGAATATTTAAGCAATACTCATAGCAAGAAAACGATACGAGAGCTATTTCTTTTCGTGGTGACTATCGCACATACTTAGAGAATCACCGCTACGTACAAGTCTCATTTTATAAGATTGTATTGAATGTTTTCTATACATATATATGTTTTTATTCTTAACTTAATTTTGGTTAGCATACATCAAAGTCTTTCGCCAATTATTTCAGGGTCCTGTTCCTGAATTCGGTTGTTTTGATACCCTACTGATATTCATGCTGGTATTATATGAGTCAAGTTCTAATCTTCCGACTATATTGGTTCCGTATAACGCGTTCCTAGTTCACAGAGATACTTGTAGCAGGACGTGTTTTCTCCGACAGCCGAACGTTTAATGAGACCTTTAGATGCGTTTATCAGTAAGTGCGTTTAACCTAATGGCTACATAAGGAAAATTTCGGTATCTGGCAAAAAAACCTTATTATAATTAATCCAATTAGCGCACAAGTAGCGCATTATCAAAGATTTTTTTCATTACATTCATTGTTTTTTGAAACGTATATACTTTGCCGCTCAGTTTCGCGGCATCAGCTCACATAAGTGCATCACCGGCCTTAAGGTCGCCTTTGTTAAGTTACAGGTCCTTATGAGAATATATAAGAATGAATCTATTTCGACGTTCTTTTAACTCTAGCTAGGTGAGCAGACACTGTTACGGCCTGCCAGTCAACTTTGTCAACCAGGGCTTGATATTGAACGGAGCTTTTGTGAACATTTTATGATCATCGTCCACAGAACAGGGACTAGAAAAATAGAACCTAAAAAATTATGTTTATAGAAATGTCAAAAAGTTGATCATGTCATGCGTTTTGTCACAAAACCGAAAGTGGTATTCACTTAAAAGGTATTGAAGTCGCGGAACTTCACGCCTACTGGGACTCCTTTACTTTGATCGCCTCTGTGCTTTTTTCCAAAAGTGTTGAAAGCTAAAGAAATTTTTTTTACGACTAATGAGCTACATTCACTAACAAACAAGTAAAATCAACCTTATTATTTGAATTTTCCTAAATAGATGTTAAATGTAAGCATGCCAACTTTTTTTACGAAATCCGTGTTGAGCTGCTATAGGGAAATTCGTTGAGATAAATACACAGATTAGCTAAAAAAAATCAGTCGTTTGACATGATGAATGGGTGGATGAATGGAGTCTGTAAAATATTTAGACGAATTACTTTGGGGTTGGACGTTGAGCAAAAGGCAAAGTTAACGGAAAAATTGGGTTACTGAGAGGCGTCTGATTCTAAACCGTAATATCAGGTTCGATCCTCAGTGCAAACCTAGGGACTTTTTACGTTAGATTTCTACGCAGTGGAGTCTGATCAGCGCCAATAGCTTTTATACTTATTATTTAAAGCAGGTTCACGCCATCAAGATGAGCCATTTAGAAATTTGATAATGTGATTGCTCTATAAGCCAAAGCTTTAAAATGTCTAGCTTCAATTCGGATAAACACTTGCATGTCTGACGCTGCAGAACTTTGACTTGTTATACATACGAAAAGCCCCTAAATACAATGATAGCACGCAGGGGGCTAAACACCTAGAATAGAACTAAGTTTATAAACTAAAGTATCTGAAACAGTTAACTCAAAACTTAGTAAATAGTGGATAGATGGTCAACTAGGGTCTTATAGCCAGCTTCTAGAAAATAAAAATACTGCCGATATCTCTGAATTAAGGTACAAATCATCCTCGTCATTTCAGCGGTAACAGATTCGAGCAGCGCAGGAATTACATCGCACAGTGCAAAAACGTTCGTTTCTCCTCCTATTTTTCTTCTGACTGTTATATAGATAGTTAATGTTCAGCTTAATTTATTCTTTAGTAAGAAACAAATTAGTAGCTCGACAGTCCGAAATCTCAATATGAACTTAAATAAGATAGCCTCACTTAATTTTCATTGTTGGCGGAAGCTAAGTTGTTTACATTACGGCTCAATTCATCCACTAACATGTAAGAACAATTTTGGCTTTGAAGAACTTTTTTCATTTGAATCGCTCTCGCAGTTAACGATTCCTTCATCTCTTGCACAACGTTTTGTATAAGCTCACACAGAATATATATACTCCATACCATAACATATATAATATATTCTGTGGCATACTCGATTTCGATCGCGAGAAACAAGGCTCATATCCTGAAAGCAAAAGTGAGTAGAGTTCATAATAAAATGTACTACGCTAACCAAAGGTTACATTATATCCTACTATACGTGGTACTAACATACAACGTAGTTCGTTAAAATACAGTAAAAACGTTTTCGTAGTAGTGCAGCGGTAAGCTGGTTGCTTGCTTTCTTAACTTGTGTACATGCGAGGTGGCCTTCGAAAACGGATCTAGATTTACTTAAACTTTTTATTATGAAAAAGATTAGCTACTTAAGGTGGTGTTTAAGCGAAGTACCGGGCGTGAAACAATCGAAACTATTATTTACGATACAATAAGATAAGAACGGCCAGCCGCTACAACCATAGGTAAATCCAGGTACTGTCAACGCTAGTACATAGGTATTTCTATTTTATTATGATTTTTACGGTTCATAAGTCGGCAAGAAAGATGGCATAGGGAAGACGCACGAGGGAAATTGAAAACTGGCGGAAAATCATTAATTTCTACCAATAACGAAATCAACAGCAGGTTTTTACTTGCTTCATGATCTCCCGGTTGATTTCAGAATAATAATCTCCTATTATTTGAGGACGTATCGCAAATTAATTCGCAGACTATAGCCGTAGTGCGCGTGAGTTATTGGAGCTTCTGGGGCGTTACACATGTGAAATTCCAATTTTTAGTTTTTTTTTGCTACTTTATTACAAAATATGCCTCTAGAGGCAAAGAAGGGAGTCATTTTCATTGTCACTTTGCTTGGCAACGCAGCACTAACTCCAATACTTTTCCCCATTCATTTGTCCACTTTGAAGTAAATGCTGTGTTATAAGATGCTTAATTATTCTTGAAGTTAAAGTTATCGCACGGGGATGCATGGCGTGTTGCGTGAACTATTCCCTCTGCCGGACCCACGCCTAAGTCATTCGATTCTGCCACCTAATTTTTACGGAGAGCGACAGACGCGTGCACACAACACGTGCGCTCTCCATTTACCCGAGCTAAGGCTTAGCAGAACCCTTTGTGCCAGGCGTAAGCTGAGGACTTTGCGACACTCCATTACGGAGGACATTGCATCCGGCTGGATGGATTGACGTCCGGCAATCAGTCCATTAGCAATTATCATTGATGTACCTCATGTAAGATGCTGTAAACGTATGGCAGGTTGTTTATTTTGGGAAGATTTCTCCGCTTCGAAGGTAGTTGCCTGAGCGAACTATCTCTTTCAGCTATGATACCAATAGCTCCAATGCATGTTTGACTGGTCCTCCTTAAACTCAACTAGGCGTCATTGCCGTTATAGATATACGTTTGTAAATCGCGACGTCCTTACGAGTTACTGGCCGTGTCAGCGATAAACAAGGGACATGTCATATCACCCTTAACACGCTGAGATAGCCACCAAATCAGCGAATTGACATAAACAGCCCACGTTACTACTCCCGCAAACGTCGTGGCCTGCATCAAGCAAGCCAAGCGCTTAATTTAGCTATTATGCGTAAAACATGCACATTGTGTTGATTATATATCACCTAGTAACAAGTTCGGTTAAATATCACTGATTTTTTATCTCTATTAATTTTCTATCTCGATCTATTAAATATGTATTTCATGTTTCGATTAGCTCGAGGCAGACTATTATCAGTCTTAACCATCAGGTCCAAGGAAACAGTAGGTTCTGCTAAATGCAAGCCTTGAGCTGCTGCGGCCCCAGAGTAGTCCTGCCCCAGCAATATCCCTCGAATGCCCTCTCCCTTTGGCGGAGCCTCCTACGCGAGGAGAAGAGGTCCGAGATAAAACCAGCGACTAGACCACAGAGACGGGAACTTGCGATCGAATTTCTGAGCGACTACGTGGGAACCAATACCAGCAATTTTCAACTAGAGAGAAGGCAGGCAGACAGGTAGATCGGAAAGAATAGACCCAGCCTTAGAAGGTACATAACACAGCTTGGTGTCAGTATACGAACGCAAGTGGTTGGCTGGTGTAAATTCAGAAGTTGAACGAGAAAGTTTGGTACTGATTAACTGTACCAAGCAGGGTCTGACAGTCTTCTTTCCAGCCGTTGTGGACTTCGTCGAGATGACTCAGATTCAAGTAGTTGTCGTTGTATTTCTTTTGGCTTTTGCCGGATGTTTCACTTCACCAGCACCGCGTAGCGACGAGGCTCTTCAGTACTATTACTTCATGCAGCATCCTCCCAGGTAAGAGAAATTCCTAATGTCTGTAACCTACCATATTTTAGTATGAATATCAATCGATAGCTTGCATTCGCTTATAGTTGTGACAATTGAAAAATAATGCAGATTATTAATTATGCTCAGATATATTTCAATAGTTAAACGTCCAGCTACTGATGGTGCATTACCTTTCAAATTGTCATGATCCAGTTGTGAAGAAAAGACTTCACTTGACATTTAGTATATTATAGGTTTCGGTAAGTTGGACATCAGAAGGCTAATAGAGTCGGGGTAGGCCATTCAACAAAGGGAATGCGAGTGTACTAGTCGGATCATGGGGGCCATTATCTTTTGTACTGGTTTTGTCGTTGATGTAATCAACCAGTTAAGTATCATTGGTAACAGTTAGCAACTCACTCTTCTGGTATATCAGTATTATATCGAGATTCAACTGTTTGCAAATTCGGCATTATCTCAGGGCGTGGATCTATTTAGTGCATCAGGGGTGCATGAAATTAGACACATAAGTAAAACACGCTATGAAGTTGTTATACGGCTGCACATTAGGATCATTTTCCTCAGACCATGGTTTAGAATTTTCGGTTGCCTGTTACCACTTTAAAGAATGTATCCGTTTTCGAAATGATGGCTCAGATGGAGAATAGTAAAGCAAAAAGGGATAACATGACATAAATAAACAGCCATGTTAAGATTAAGCAGTTAGCTGTTGCTATTTATCTCAATGGTTTTTGACATCTATCCTTAAAGGAGGCAAACCTTTGAGATAGATACTCATGATCTTTGAGGTACATACTCAACTTACCCAAGGAAATTAAAGAAAATTGATCTTCGCAGGTAGAGGATTTCTTTAGACGCACACATACGTCTCTTAACAGTGCGAAACGACGGTTGGGAACTTCTTACGTATATTTTCTTCTTATAACTAACAAGATGTACGCAGACGAAGAACAGATTCTTCAATTGTTAAGGAAAAGCAAAAAAAATTTCCATAGATTAGTAGATAGTAGATTAGATAGTAGATTTGTTTTCTCACTCACGTCTCGCTTCGCCGATACTTCTCTGCCATAGCGTGGAGTTGATGCTTGGCGATAAGCGGTCGAACGGAATGTTGGACTTCGGGCTGGCGCGCGGCATGTCGGGCGTGGACGCTGCCAAGGCGCGTCTCGGTCTCAAGTACGCCAACGATCCCTATGGCCCCGGTCGGAGGTAGATCTTTGATTAGAAGCCAATTGCTTGCAGCAGGCAACACCCCACCAGGAAAATTTACTTCCCACGGACCTGAATAATGTACTACACGTTTATTAATTATCCTGTACCCATTACGATTATTAGTATCACCTCTGTTAACTAGTAAAAACCTCCTTGTTAACGGGCTATAGCCTGACGCCATCTGGTGCACGCTTCCAAGAAAAGCACACGATCGTTATGAAAGACGCTAGTGCACCGAAAGCTGACGTGAGTCAGGCGTTTGGCCATCGTCCTACATTTTGGTCCCGAGAAAGAATGCACGTAGAAATTGTTAAAGGAACAAACGAAATCGGGCGACGGTTGCGGAGGATTTGGTCAACGCCCAAGTAGATTAAACTGTCGACAAACAAGAGACACAAAGTCGAAACAAATCAATACTCACCCCACAAGTAGAGAACTTTTACGATAACGATTGTTAGCACGTCGTTGGAACTTGAAATGGGTAGGTGGGGTGGTAATCAGTTAAGCTAAACAATAGTAAAGAGGCTGGCTGATACACAGGCAGAATCGTGTACAGACACGGGTACAGGCGCGGTTATGAAGACATCAACTGTTGGAGAAGAGACATGCAGATTAAAGGACAAATACTGGCTGTTGAAGAACACTACAAGAAACATATATAGACTGAGGAGCAAAGATCCAAGGACCTCCGATAATGTTAATGAACAACATCCACAAGAAAGGATTACATATCGATCAGCGAGACTTTACGGCATGTTGTCATAGCGACCCGATAACATATGCTCATCTACGTTAGGTAACAGCAATATAATTTCAAGATGCGCTGACAGCACCCGAAACCTCAGATAGACCTTTAGTGACCTGCCCATACCAGAATGTAACCCCTGAAGTCATATATCGATCTATTGTACTTGTCCCGCACAGGATCTGGTTACAATCTACTGTATTACGATACTATTTTATCAGATAGCTACCGGCGCATCAGGCAAAATGCTACCGACCAATTTGCTAATGATTGGTATTTATAAACAAGATTCTCTAGCATTCACTAGAAGTAAGAGACCGCAGATCGAATGCAGTTTCTAGGGGATAGGTGGACACTTGCGCAGTGAGAGACCTTGCTCACCAGCAGTAATACTATTGATATCTCCAGATAATAGGTATACAGACTGTCGAAAATCGCGAGTCCAAGAGGCATATCCCTGTGAAAACTTTTTTGTCGCTGACGAACATAGCTGATGTGTTGGAATTAGCTGAAGAATTGCTGAATGTGTAGCCGTCATAAGCGAGCCAAACACAACCAGCCGACCAATAGATAGACAACAAATATCTACAACGCAACATGTTCGGTGCAGATAGTTAACAGATAAGTACAGAAAGAAACCAAACGAAAATGATGTCATCAGCGGCTGTTTATGACGATACACGCAAAAACGAAGAACAAACGAAATGATGTGGGAAAATGGAAGGGATGTCATTTGCTGCGTTTCGTTAGACGGAGCATGGTAGGGATGTCAAACAATACACGCTCCACAAAGGCTATAAAAGCAGCAAAAAGACAGGAAGCTAAGGATTTGCTTCAGAACACTACACGATGGAAAATCAGAAACAGTTGACATAACCAAAACTGCAACGACGGGAAAAGATAGAAAGATAACAAAGAGATTGTGTAATTTATATAAATAGCAACCAACATTTACTATAGAACGATACAAGCGAAACAAAAAAAAATAGCAGATGAAAAAATCCGAGCAAAAAACAAAAAAACCTATTGTTATTACTGCAAGCACCATTATAAACTGTACGACATCAGCTGAATTGAATGAATGAACTCGAGTTCACTCACGTGTTTCAACTTGTCATGAGGTAGCAATCAATCTGTTATGGTATCATCAGCAATGACAGAACTAAATCTAGGGAGACTAACTGACATTAAAACTACAGGCCAACTAGTAAAAAGAGCTGAACGAGCGAATCAAGCAATGGTATCGGAGAGCAAAAGAACGCGATATCACTTCGTAGCTGGGGACTCCTAGAGGAACATCAATAGTTTTCACGAAGAGGAACGACTTGCAACGGACAACTCAAGCGAAAATGCGGTCGGTCGCATAACGTCGAACAAGCGAATACGTTTCAGCATGAAGACAAATATTTACAAAAATATACGGTGAATCAAACCCAAATTCGGCAAAAATAAAAGACGATACTTGTTTGCAGATATGGGCAAGTCCTTTAACTTTGTTATAGACAATTAGTTCGACATAATGGTATAGGATAGTTACAAATACGAAGGCTAAGTAGCAGAATACTACACACACATATTTACTGGACAGATGCTTCGTGACTTGTTTCAGATTGACCACTGACATTTCTCGCACTGGGCCGAAGACGAGGCTATGCTTTTATAGGCACGATGATTGCCGCTCCATTCTCCCGAATCAACGATTTACCATTGTTATAAAGGCACAACATGTAGGTGCTTCGTTTTACACAACAGCAAGCAAACCAATAATAACACAAGTACAGGATCATGGAAAACCTACTTCTAAAAACAACTGCACAAAAATAGGCCTTTCGACCGTAAACAGATACACTTAATAAGTACATTAGATTTAATAAACGTCGAGGCTGCGTAAGTGACGTAGATCGCTTCGTCTGAGACTTCGGCTAACCGGCAGCGCCGCATTGCGGCAGAATGGTATACTAGCATTCTAACCGCAGCGTAAACAACGTTCGCTCAGGTAACTACGGTCCAGTAGGTAAACGAATCGTATAAATCGCCGTTGAAATTGGATCTTTAAGGTTCATTATCGATGTCCAATTAGAGCCTGTTGACTCTGCGGTGTCTTCGGCTATGACGAGGCATTACTAAGGACGACGTATTCCCTCCCCCCCGCCCGCCCCTACGGAATACAGCCTCTAAGGTCGACAACACGCCTTTGTACGGGCCGATCAAGCGAATCAAAGCCGTTTTCCAAACAATGAAAATCACAGCATCGATACGTCAAATCACAGCATTCTTCACGAACAATTCTGGTTCCACGTGCGTACACGCCCGTACACGAACGCTTGAAGCACTAAAATGACAGAGCAAATCGATAAGGCAGCTTTGGGCTTTAACATAGTTAGCACGTATTATCAGCTTAACGGTTCTTGCATCTAGCCTTCTTCTTCCATATAAAGAGACACGCACGCACCCTCTAGCTTAGCGTGAAATGAAGAGGTTTTCTGTGAATATCAAGTCGCTGATCCATAAAAGTTGAAGTAAACAACGTTAGGCCACATACTTGTATGTATGGGGATGGAACAAGTGTAGCCTTATGGTTTTTGGGTGGAGTAAATTATGAAGTAGGCCGTAAAAGGTCGCCTTACCCTTAGGAAAAATTAATTTTCAGTTATTTAGAGGAAAAAATTGTGCGCTGTTAGCTATTGCAAGGATATTTTCAATATTCTAAAATGCAATGACTAAACTGTGAGAGTGGCCGGTTCGAGTCCCGTCAATGAGACGGGAAGTGTAATTGAAGGGAGAAACGAACCGTGCTCTGAAGTTCGCGACATTGCGTTGACTATTAACAGCCGGACAGACTGTGATGGAAGGCTCGTAATTATTCTATGGTTTACAGTTGTTATTTAGCTGTCAACACGATTCGCTTCATTGAACTTTCATTTGATAGCCAGTAGCGGTTTAGAACTTGCGGCAACTTGACGGCTTCAACCGTTACAATATGATTGATAGTAACGTGATATAAACGGGCAGTAATTTAACTTTAAAGATAGAATGTCTAGAGTTTTAGGCACATCAGTAATGGTGCGTTCGTGAGCTTATTATTTACCTAGTAGTGTTACGCATGTACAGTATTAAGCGCAGAGTAAATGTTGTATCTGTCTGTTAGCTTTGATGTTAGTCTGTATTTGGTAGTAGCAAGTTTATTATAACAAGAAACTCTATATTATTCAAATCGTTTGCTAAGAATGAGACGCCATTATTCTACTATATTTAGCAGATATGACTAACTTATCTATTGCTCGTTTGACAATTTGGCTGCAACCGCAACACTAAATTTTTCGAAATTGTCTCGAAATTTTCGATTTTATGCTACGACATACGAACCCTAGTTATCAGCATTTTCCAAAAGGCATGAAAAAATTTTCGTGTTATTTGAGAATTTTGCAGAAGTGTTAACACCTTAATGCATTTCGTATTGGGTGTGTTTACTATCGCTACCACTAAAAGTTGCTCGTGTCATACACTTAACTTGAATTCTTCGCAGTCGACCCGTATTAATCATTGTACCATGTTTCGTAGATACATTTGCAATCACCGAGCGGAACTGGGGCACATAATCACAATGCTGAGATCCGTCTATGATTACGACTTCTATGACTCGATTGTGTAAAAAGGTAGCAATTTGATCGTCCTGCTTCCACCTATCTATAAACGTCCGCAGGACCTTATAATGCGCATTCATGTCAGGGCGACCCTTTTGTCATTATTATTAGCTATTTTATTATTTATTGTATGATTTTATTATTATATAAAAGCATAGATTGCGTTAAAACACTGCCCTCAGTATTTGAGGTTGTATCGAACTCACAGCGCAGCGACGCCTTAACATATTTTTTCCAAGCGATTGATCTCAACAGGATATGAATTGTTTTAAGCCTAGGTTATCGAGGACTATTTAATATTAAGTAAGCTTACAGTACCGGTTTCATGAATAGAATAGGTGAATAGGACTAACTTGCTTGGAGTAACAGTCTATTTTTTTATTATTGAGTGTAGAAGGCTGCATCAGCGGTTGGAAACAACACGTGAATAGATCTGCAGATTCAATAGCTGCACATTTTCAGTTTACTTTTAGGTAATAAAACACCGAATAAATATGCGTAAGGGAATACGAGATTTGTATTCGTCCATCAAATAACCGTCTTTTGCCAACTTCGTGCCTGTTTTTTTAGAAAGGACGACGCCATACTTTCCTGGTCCCGCTCCCAAGAAAAATGACGACGGATTGCTCAGCGGCGTGATATGTCTTTTTTTCGCATGGCAGATTTTTTTCGTTTATACAGCAACTAACATGTCAAAATTCTGAAAACTGAACCGATGCAATTAACAAGCCTATGCCCTTATAATGCCAATATAATGATTACTTATAATAAACGATACCGGTGAAGTCCAGCATTGCTGCTTGTTCGATGGGAAAATTCGCGTTACGCTTAATGTGATTGACGTATTGCTTAACTAGAAGGCGATCAGGTTCAACGATCGTCTTAGGATGCAATCGAGCGTTCTCATAGTCTCAGATGTCTATTTGTACAGCATACATACAGTGACTATCTAAACTAAGACCACCTTTACGGGGAGCACCCGATTCAAGGACGTCTCATTGTTTATAAGACATCGGTACTTCTCTGAGTTTCTGTATATAAATAAATGTTCCAAGTTTTAAGTTTCGTGCTGCTGTTAAGCATTAGTTTAGACGGTTGGCTGCCAGTACAAAATGAAGTGTGTATAAGCCCGGTTTCGAACCTAAACCATCATTTACTTAAGTAGGTACGCACGTTACCGGGACTAAATCCTGTACCGCAGCGATTGGAGAACATCATTCCGTTACTAGTTGTCTATGTGTGAGCGTTTACAGATTAGCAATAGCTTTTGTACCAACTAAAAAAAAGGTGGTGGGAAGGTACATATGTATTTTTGAAACATCATAGTACAACTCCAGCCGAAATTGGAAATAGCAAAATCTGAATTCAAAAAAATACGCTCATACTGAAGAACGCGTCCCTGGTATAGTGATATAAACTAGTTTTGTCCAATAATTAAGGATAAGCTTCGAAGCGGAATTCTAGTAGACTGCAAACATAGGGCAAGCATAGCTTTTAGAGATAAAGTTGAGAAATATACATGATAACCAAAGAATCAAGCGAATTATATTGTTATATAATTGCTTGCAAAATAACGGAGGAAAGTTTGGCAAGCAGATTTTGAATTGACCCATAATAACAGTGAAAGTTAGTTCGTAACTTTTACTTGATTACCTGGTTCGTAAGTAACCAAGACGATACATCAATGATCCAATGGATTGTAGTACCTTCCCAGGTAGAGAACTTCCCAAAGTGGCTTCGTTAACATTGTATCTTCTATTATTGTACATGATATTATTATTATTTTATCTAGTATCTAGCCTCTGTAGCGTCATACTCTGCATACCGTTTCCAAATAGAACCTTGCATAGTTCTGAGACTCCATCGACAGCTTAACCCTGGAAGCAATTATTGTTGACAAAAGCCACTGACGTAGATGACACCAGAAACACTTCTGAAGCCACGGTCAGAGAATTGCACATTGATGCCAGCGATTGTTATTTATGTGGTAGTAAATGAAAGTTACTGATCAATAGTTGTGCACGCCGTAAATACTGAAACGTTACGTCAAAATATATAAAAAGAACAGTAGCCATTCTTAACTCAATAACAGAACTGTGCGAGAAAATGAATCTTCTATTTGAGTAGACCTTGAGATATTATAAGGGAAGCTATTATTTTGTCGTTTATGAGAACGCCAAAATTATAGCTTTTTTGAGAGACGCCTGTCAGCGGGGGACCACAACTAGTTTTTAGTAGACACAAACTGATTTTTACGGTTTATGAGAAAAGGTTGGAAATGATGAAGTTAATGAAACGAGCTAACTTCAAAGGCAGGCTGTATGTTACCCCTGTGAAGGAACTCAAGTTTAACTTCTCTTTCC